GGACTGCACCACCTGGAGCTGCAATTGCACAGCTGCAATTGCACAAGCTCATCTCAGCACCTCCCGTCTGGCTTTCCCACACAAAGGGCTGGAATCCCACCCTCTGCAGCTCCCTGAGGGCACCTGCTGAGACCCTCCCCAGCCCCAGCAGGGCTGGCCCAAGGCCCTGGGCTTACCTTGGAGAGCTCGTAGAGGCACAGCACCTGCCTGCAGTAGCCCCTGCCATGGACACATCCCTCTGCCAGGGCCTTCAGTGCTGCCACCACGGCATCGTCCCCACTCCCCAGAGGGGTCCAGTCCTCCAGGCTGGCTGCTGGAATAAAAAAACATCAATTCCCGTCTCACAAAGGCAGACAACTCCCTTACACCTGGGCAAGGCCCCCAAAACCTGCAGCAATTCTGTAACTCTTCCTCAGACTTTGAAAACTGAGCTCTTGGCACCTGTGATTTTTAAAATATTACATTTCTTTCAGGGTGCCAACAAAGTAACAGAACACAAATATCCTCAATAATTTCTCAGATACAAAATTTCTAAGCAAAGATTAAGTAAGGGTTGTGCAGCCTTCCTGATGGGTTAGGATTCATTTATGCTCTTCTGTGTCTATTCAGCTTTACTCATCAGTATTAGTAAGGGATGTTCCAGCTGAAACTCGCTCACTTCACAGACATGCAGAGAACTTTACAGATAAACATTCTCAGCCTTAGCCTTGCTACTAAACAAGAAACACCAAACCACTCATAATGCACAAAGGAGTGAGAAAAATGTATTAATTAAAGCATTTCCTTGCTTCAGCTACAGAAAAAAATTAGTGGAGTGTTTTCTAAAAGCAGGAAGGGGGATAAAGGCCAGTGCTGCTTTGCTGGGCCAGAACTGAGAGCTAGGACACACGAAGGGCTCAGGATCGATGGACTGCACACAGACACAGCAAGGCAAGGCCACAAACTCCTTTGAGAAGAGCATTTCTGCCGCAGGGAGAGAAGGCAGGAGGAGCCGAGCCAGCGCAGAGCCAGGGGAGGGGGAGCAGAGCAGGGCTCAGGGGTCGCTCACCGCCGGGGGCTGCGCCGGCCTCGGTCAGCAGGGCCCGCACCTCGGGCTGCTGCAGCCCGGCCTCGCCCAGGGCCAGGGCTCTGCAGAGCAGCACCAGCGCCACGTCCCTGTGCCGCAGCTGGAAGTAGCGGCACACGCGGGCGGCCTCGAGCACGCTGCCCTCGTCCAGCAGCGCTCCGAGCAGCGCGCCCAGCGCCGCGCGCTCCGCGGCCGCCAGGGTTTATCACAATTATCTTTCCGACAAAGAAAACTCCAACTCGCACAGGATGGCCGGCACTGAAACACTGGATTTAGGGAAGTGCCCCAACATGCAACAAGTCACAGAACTGGTTTGGGTTGGAAGGGACCTTAAAGATCATCTCATTCCACCCCCTGATGGACAAACCCACCTATTTTTCTCCCCAAATAAAACTGATTGCATACTAATAAAAACAGGAAGAGAATGAGGACAGCTGTCCTGTACTCTGCAGCTCAGCACTTACAGCCTGTGTGTTGGGTGCACTTGCATTTAAAATAAAAAATCATCTAACAAAAAAATTAATGTTTCAGGAAGGCTGAGAAGTTGCATCCTGAGTCCTGGCAGCAGCAGGAAGAGGTGACTGTCACCAAGTGCACTGTACCTCGTGTGTGACCACGCTGTCCACGGGCAGCTCAGCCAGGGCTGCCACCTCCCGAGCCAGGCTGAACATTCCCTTCTCCTGCAGCTGCTCCAGAATGGAGCTGCACTCCGCCTGGAACGCCTCCAGGCTGCAGGAGGTGAGGATGGAGCGGCTGATGGAGATGGAGGAGTCCCTCAGGGCCTCACTGAGGGCACAGAGCCTCGTCAGGTGGGGACCTGCTCAAAGAGAACAACGCTCAGCACAGCTGGGGCCGGAGGTGGGGAGGCTGAGCTTCCCTCAGGAGCCAGCCCTGCCGGAGGGCCGGGATCCATGCTGTCCTCACCATCCAGCAGCAGGCTCTGTGCTGCAGCAAGGAGCTGCAGGAGCCTGCCCAGCTCGTAGTCGGTGTGGCACTGCTGCAGCATCAGCTCCAGGAGGAAGAGCGCCTGCGAGCGCAGCCACGGCAGCGGCACCGCGGGGGCTGCTCCCCCTGCAGCCCCCAGCTGTGGGAAACAAGGCCTTAAGGCTCAGGGCTCCCCGGCCTGAGCCTCTGGCAGGGAATGGGAGGTGCAGCTGCTGTGTCCCTCCTGAGGGGACACGGAGCTGCCAGCCCCGAGCTGGAGCTGGGACGTGGCACAGCAGGCGAGCACCAGACACTGCTGAGAGCCAGGGGGACGTGGGAGAGCTCAGCAGGGCCAGGCAGAATTAATTGTGACACAAACAGCCCTGACACTGCTGGGGAAGGGAACTGAGCTGCCTGAGCCCAATGTCCAGGAAGGAAAACCATTAATGACAGGGATTAATAATGTCAGTTAGCAGGGAACCAGAAACTGGGATGGAAAGGAAAGAATTGTTACAGCATCTGCACTGAGAGACAGAGTGTCTTCACACACTGCTCCTCTTGGCCCAGCTGCCCAATCCCAGCAACGGCACTTACAGAAAATTAATTTCCTTACATTTGTGAGGCTTTCCTGAAATTTGTCCAGCTTGGTTTTAGCTTCGTTGTACTTCTTACAGTTCATGCACAGCTCATACATCTCCAGGATGTGCAGCAAAGGGGAATCCTTTAACACACAAAACCAGATGATAATAAATTCCCAAACGTACTTCAATAAATCACACTTTAAAAAATCATCTATTATTTCATTCAATAAATGTAAAATTTGTCTCCCTCACTAGCAGAACAATGAAGTTTTAATTTATTAAAATTGCATGCAAGGTTAATGTAGGATCTAAAAATCTGTGATAATTGGAAGAACTTCCACTTTGACTGGGAATTTCAGTGGACAGCCAGGTTATCCTTGGCACAAAGGAAGGCAGAGGGGAATTTACAGGCCCAGAAGGTGAGACACATCAAACACACCCCTGAAACCACATCCCCTCACCTTTAAAAAGAGCTGGAAGCCATTCAGAAGTGTTTTACTCTTCTGCTTCCTCAAGAGGACTTTCCAGATGACAGCAAGGTCCTGCAGGTCCCACTGGGGACTCTCTGCCTGGCTGTGGGCAGTGGCCTCAGCCCTGGTGGCACCATCCACAGAAGTGACAATCCAAACACAGAGGCAGGAGACGAGGTTGGCATCCTGGAAACGCCCGAAGGAAGGGTTCACACCTCCCCCGGTGGAAGGGGCAGCACAGAAACACCACAGCAGCTGTAACCCCGCGGCAGAGGCGGGCACAGCCAGCCGTGCCAGGCACCCCCAGCACAGGGAAATGCAGACTCACGGGGCAGCAGGCTGCCAGCACGCTGAGGATGGGGCTGTGTGCCCGGAGCCCTTCGGCCAGCAGGTACCCCCAGGGGCTGGGCTGCTCCTGGCACTGCAGCAGGGTCTGGAACAGGCTCCCTGCACGGGCCCTGCCAGCAGCTCCTGCCTCGGCGCCCAGCAGCCTCCCCAGGGCCAGCAGCAGGTGATCCTGCACCGCGGCAGGGAAGTCCTGCAGCAGGGGAATGACCTGTTGGGAAAACCAGAGAGAGGGCAGGATGGAACGCCGAACACAAAGACAAAGCACTCCCCAAGTTCAGTGTTTAGAACAGCTTTGGAGACCTAGAGAGGAAAAAGGGTTCTGGAGGTGTGAATTATTCTAATGAAAGCTCATCCTTTTCCACAAAGCTCAAATGTCTCCTAGGGAGCCTCAGATCTGCTCTCTCTTGTAGTGCAGCAACAGAGCATTAAAAGGGTTTACCCGGGTACTTTTGTGGAGTTACAGATTCTTCAAAACAACAAGCAAATCCAAGTTAAAATCCTGGGCCTGCTAAGCACCATCCTACCTGGAATCTCCCACTTAGCTTCCTCATGTGACTTCTCCCAATTGCTTTTATTGGAGTGTTTTATTCATTTTTAAATCACATCCAAAATCAAAGGTGGAAAATTTGGATTCTCAAAAGTTTAAGTATCTTCACAAAAAAATCAATGTGAGTTTTGAAAGGAAAGATGAGTGGCTTTATTATAACTTGCACTGAACATCTGGCAACTCTCCAATTAAAAAAAAAGCAGTAACTACTTGAGTTTAAATTAATTCACAAGTGTGGCTGCAAGGGAAGGGCTACCACAGTGCCAGGGTATGGACATCCCAAGAGAACCAAGACCCAGGAACTGGTCAGGCCCCTGCTGTCTCCACACTGGGACATTCTCTTGCCCCAGGACCCAGTTTGGTGCACAGGAGCTCACCTGGGCTGGCTGGTGGCCGTGGAGCTGGGTCTGGATCAGGAACTGCAGCCACTCGTTGGATTTGGCACATTCCCTCAGGAAGGACGTGCTCAGCTCCAGGTCATGCAGCTTGCAGAACTGCATGACCAAGGCCCACTGCCTTCTGGAGTCACTGGATGTCCTGCACACAATTGAGAGAGCTGCAGGTGCACAGAGCTGCAACATCTGCAGCAGATGCTCAGGCCTGAAGTGAGCCTGGGACTGCCTGCAGGGCATGCCAGGGGTCACTGCAGCCAGGCCACTGTCCTGTGCTGCCCTCCTTGCTATCATCTGGCACACAGACAACAGAAGGCAGTGCTCAGCCCTCATTTCCCAGGTAACCCCTCAAACCAGGCTGCTCTCACCTCTTTATGCCTTGCTGCTCAATGGCATCCCAGAAGGCCTCTTCCAAGGAGGTCAGAAGTGCTGCTGCTGCTGCCTTTTCACCATCAGCCAGCTTTGTTAACTTCTCCACTGTTTAAAAGAACACATTCCTGAGGTGCTACTGGGATCAGAGCCAGAGCAGCACTTTCAGGGGTAGCTTCCTAGCTGGGAAAGCCCTGGAGTTAGAAATTCACCTTTCTCAAGTCATTTCTAGGATAAACTTCATTTCCCTACAGCTTTGAACACTTGATCTCCCTGCAGGTATGTGATAGGAAGGAGAAAGGAGATGTGCCAGTGGACTTTGTTTAACTCTCTGTAATATTATTACAACTGAACCTCACTAGTATCAGTCTCAGGCAGCTGCTGGACAGTGTCTGTTAGATCCTGATACAGGCTATATCAGTCCTTATTTAGCACTACAGGATCAAAATTAGTAAAGAAAGCACCTTTCAAAACTAGTAAAGAAACAGGAACAAAAGAAGAAAGTTCTTCCACTCTTTCAGCGCACTGCTGAGCCCCCAGCAGCCCCTCTGCATGCCCCCTCCCTGCCCAAGCACCCAGCGCAGCTCTCGGAGGCAGAGGAGCAGAGCCTTACCCAGGGAGTCCCGGCTGAGGCCGTGGGGAGAGGCGTCCCTGCTGCAGCTGTGGCTGCACAGGAGGCTGGCAGCCCCGAGGTCCACGCGCAGCCCCAGGCTGTCGTGGCCCAGCAGCTCCAGGAAGCACACGCAGGCTGCGGCCACCGAGGGGACACCCAGGCAGCTCAGGGCCAGCAGCTGGGCCTCCCGAGCTGCCTGCTGCACCCTGCAGGGAGCCACACACAGCTGTCACCCCCTGCACCAGGGCAGCTCAGCCTCCCTTCCCAGATAACCCCAAACTCGTTCCCTGCAAACAAGCACCTGCGGGGTTTGCTGAACCCTGAGCCATCAGCATCAAAGGTAACTATGAGCCAAAAGTCTCACACTTGTAAAAAATGTGGGAACATATGAGAATGGAGGCTCACACGTGATCAGCAGAGTTTGCAATTGAATACATTTATCAAAAGCTAAAGGCAGTGGAATTGGTTATAATTATTGTTAACAACACAGCCCCTCAGCAGCTGAGGGCAGACTGAGCCTTTGCAGAGTTCACAGCCCACTGCAGCACCAGGAACCTCAGTGTGACCTGCAGATGGTGCTAAGAGAAAAATGGACCCAAAGAGGTTTTCCACAGCAGTCACTGAAATAACCCTGCATCCCTGAGTGTCTGTAAAACCATGGCTTCACCCCACAGCTATGTATGCTTCCCTGTTAGCCCCAGTTTTACCTGCTTACACAAGAGAAACCGATCTATGTGGAAATGATGGAGAGAAACAAACAGTGACTAACACACAAACCAGACAGAAACAAAGTGATTTGCTCTAATTCCCACACTAAACAGCAAATTTCATGTATTCAAGTTAAGATGTGTCACTTGACTGTACCCTCCTGAACACCTGATTCTGAAGCTTCAGCCAAGACATTTAATTCCATCAACCTCCAGTGCATTTTTTGCCTTACTAGTTAAACTAAAGAACTATCACCACTAGGAAATGCCACAGAAAAGGGGCATCACACTCCTACAAAGTCACCTGGGAGCTCAAGTTCCTAAAAGAGGAGCCCACCCATGTTTGATCAGACTGGGGATCTTTCCCTCGCTTCCCTTGTGCGGATTTATCGAGGCAATTCCAAACACAGCTCGCCTCCTTCCAGCGATATCTGATTTCTAACCTTCAGGCCACCCCCAATTCCACTGCTGAGCACTCTGTGCTGCAGGGAGGATGGACTGCCTCCCTGCTGGGGACACTCACAGCTGCCTGGGGGCTCTGCTCCTGGCCAGCTGCTGCCCCACGAAGGTGCCGAAGGCGAAGGCGGGGCGGCCGTGCAGCAGGTAGAACGGGAAATCCAACCTCTCCTGCACGGCGTGCCTGCTCACCAGCTCGGGGCTGGAGAAGTGGGGCAGCTCGCTCCAGGCATCTGGGAACAACAGAGCAGCACTGTCAGGGACCCTGACCCACAGCTCTGGGAACAACAGAGCAGCACTGTCAGGGACCCTGACCCACAGCTCTGGGCACAACAGAGCAGCACTGTCAGGGACCCCAAACCCACAGCTCTGGGAACAACAGAGCAGCACTGTCAGGGACCCTGACCCACAGCTCTGGGAACAACAGAGCAGCACTGTCAGGGACCCCAAACCCACAGCTCTGGGAACAACAGAGCAGCACCACCAGAGCTCTGGGAACAACAGAGCAGCCCTGTCAGGGACCCCGAACCCACAGCTCTGGGCACAACAGAGCAGCACCACCACAGCTCTGGGAACAACAGAGCAGCACTGTCAGGGACCCCAGACCCACAGCTCTGGGCACAACAGAGCAGCACTGTCAGGGAGCCCGAACCCACAGCAGCAGCAGGGCTCGGCTGCAGAACCTCAGCGGAGAGCCAAACGCGCTCCTCGGGCTCTAAGTCACATCCAGAACCAACTGAAATCCCACTGCAAAAGCAGAGCTCTGCACCACCTCAGCTTGCTTGGAAAAGAAAACATTGGTTTTCTATGCTATATTTAAATAATTTCCTATATTTAAAAAAGGTTCTGCCTGTGAAGAGCTTAACGCGAAAATCTAGAACTCTAGTTCCAAACAGAATTTCGGTAAATTACACTATGTTTCTTGGGAAAGAAATGGCCTTTTGAGTAAATTTATCTGCCAAATAATTCCTCTGGAAAGTAACTTATTTTAGGTGCTCAGGCTAGGAAAGCATGTAGATCTTGGCAAGGGACATACCTGACACAGCAAGAGTGTTTGTCGACTGCCAGCCAAACAATTTCGTGGGATCAAAGGGCATTAATGACTGAAAGATCAGAAACAAAATAAATTGAGTCAGTTTAAGAATTTCACATCACGGTCCTGTAACTCTCAATTTCTAATTCTCTTACCATTGCAAACATTATAAAATTGAAATATTGCAATTGCTGCACTATTAAACACCTCACCCACTGAACACTGTGAGAACACCCCTCTCTGCCACTGCAGCACTGCAAACTCACAGGCTGCAGAGACCACTTGAAAAAGCAGCTCAGGATGAGGCTGTGAACTTCAGCTCCACGTCAAGGATCCCAAAGAAACAGCCCCTGGCCCCCACCCCCAGCTTTAGTGCAAACAAACTGCTCTGTCCTCGTGCCCTGCAAAAGCACTCTGTACCTGCAGAAGGTGGTAGAGAGAGATGTCAGGGGGCAAAATCCCATGAGCAGTGCAGGAGGGAAAGAGAGCAGCCTTGAGCTTGGGGTAAGGGGTCAAGGCCATCTTCAAGAGCTGTGGATCAACTTTCTGTAGAGGTTTTTCTGTGTCTTCATTCTGAAGGACCTACATTGCAAGCCAGCAAAATTAATTAGGAGGAAACTGCATTCCATAGCAACAAAACAATTTTGGGGCGTCCCAATCTACCCCAGGGGAATTTGACAACACAGAAAGTATCATCTTCTTCCCTGTAAAATGCTTTTAAGTTGTATCAGCCCCACATTCCCCAGCAGCTGCTGCTGCAGGTGACTGCTGTGGATCAAGACACTCTGGTCATCCCCTCTGCTCCAGCAGTTTCTATCAAAGGGACATTTCCTGTCACAGCCACGAGTGCAGACAGGGGAGCAGCAGGACAGGGGGTTCAGGCAGTACCTGGTCAATGCCCCCAGGCCCATAGACCGTGGTGGCCAGGGCCAGCAGGGTCCTGCCCTCCAGCAGGATGCTGCTCACACCCCCCTGGCTGCTGGGAATCAGCATCTGAGCGTTGGCCAGACTGGCCTGGAAAACCATCTTGGGATCTTAAAAGGAAAAAAAAGTGACATTTAGTTCCATGTAAAACCAGTATTAAACCATCAATCACACGTTACAGCTGTCCTCTGACTGTGAAAAATGCTGGATTTTCTACTTTTTGTTGTCCATACTGGTTTCCCTCACTTTGCCTACAAATACAGAGAAGATGAGGTAAGCTTTACCAAGCTCTGCCTACACAGATAGCCTGGGGTTGAGTCCCACACTTTAGCACTGCAGTGGTTCAATTCTTTATCCTACACTGATTGTGCTTTCCAAAAAAGCTTCACTTGGGGTTAGTTTTGTCTTTTGTTGATGTGTGACTCTGCAGAAGATGAAATGTTTTAAGAGTGCAAGGAGGTAGGGGCACAAACTCTACTGGCTTTCAGCAAAGCAAACACACAATCCAAGGGCAGAGAAATCCAAATGCACCACAGGGACTAGAGGCAGGTTTCATTTTCATGGGGTGTGTGCTTTCCTATGAATTCTCCTTCTGCTCAAGCTGCTGGGGATGTAACTAACTGGAGGTAAGGATGATTACACACAGAGTGATTCTCACTTCTGTGCAGTCCCCAGGTCTTTAAGCACAGTTCAAGCAGAATTACAATCCAGATTTCCAGACGAGGAAGTGATGGACAGGGGCTTTGCAGCAGAGCAGAGGTTTAACCCAGCTGTGCCAAGCCCTGGGCCAGGACAGGAACATCAGCCTCCTGTGGGGCAATTCCTACCTCGGGGATTGCTGGCAACCCCTCTGCACTGCACCAGGAACTCAAACCAGGGATGTGCTTCCTGCAGCTCCTTGTCATCCAGGACAGGGCAGTTTGAAGGGGTTAAACTGGAAATAGATGAGCAACACAGTGAAGATACAGCACTGCTAACCAGTGCTGTAACACAGCATTAAAGACTGGAGCACCTCATGGGTGTTAAAGCCAAATACAAGTGCTTAGACAAACAACCAGAAAATGATGTACTGGCTTTTTTTTTCTGCCCACTTCTACATCTCTGGTAATTCCAGTGTTAGACTGGAGTTAGAGCTCACAAATTTTAATTGCCAAGTATCCATTAAGTGGGAAGTATTCATATAGCTCCAATACCTACTACTGGTACCACCTTCAAACCCCAACTAACCCTAGATTGGGGGGAAAGCAACACATCCGTGAACGTATCAGGACTCAACTCACACTTGTGCTCAAGAGAGTTTCTGGATTCTGTAAATTCTGAATTTCTGAAGAGCAACTTGTCTGGGCTCGTTTAGGATTGCATTGCCTAGAGCATTATACTAATTACAGCTGTAATTGTTTCCTTTCATGACTGACACACAAATTAATATTAAGACAGTCTGAATAAAGCTTCAAAATGCAGCTTAAAATCTCACACGCTGTCCCAGAGTCTCTGCTAAATGACACTGCCAGGGCTGAGGAAAACTCTCCCCACCAACTGTTCAAATTGTGTTTCCTTCCTTAAATCTGGGATCCCCCGTGGGGTTTGAGGGATGGGAAGCATTCCTACCTGTAGTAGTCCAGGTAAGTGTAGAGCAGGTACTGCAGGCTGTGCTCCAGGCAGTGGAGCACAAACTGAGCATGGAAGTCCAGGCCACTGGCAGTGCTGTATTTTGGAACAGGGTGAGGATTCTGCAGGACTCCCCCCAGGCAAGACAACCTCTGGAGCAGCAGCTCAAAATCTTCCAGCTCAGAAGGGACAAAAATCCCCTTTCTGTCAGAAAAAAGCACAGACACTGATCACAGAGCTCTCTGACAAGTCCTGATGGGTGTTTCCAGCTCACAATTAGAGCAGACCTTTCCCTCTCAGGGATTAATTCCTTACTGAGGCAAACACAGCGTGCCAGAATCCATCTGCCTGTCCCCCAACATCACTGTGGTTACTGCAGGGCACTGCCCAGAGCCAGGTGTGAGCAGGGAAATGCCCAGGATTTCCTCCCTTGCATTAAATGCACTGCCCAGAGCGAGGTGTGAGCAGGGAAATGCCCAGGATTTCCTCTCTTTCATTAAATGCACTGCCCAGAGCCAGGTGTGAGCAGGGAAATGCCCAGGATTTCCTCCCTTGCATTAAAGTGGGCATCAGGAATATAAACCCTGGGAAACATCCAAGGGCTGAGGGAGGAGTGCTCCTGCTCTCATGGCTCTTACTGTTGTCAGATAACTGAAAACTGGAGATAAATCACATTTACCAATGGATGTGTGCTGTTTCCAAAAAGAGCAATACAAAAATTAATATGTATCAAGGATTTTCTGTCTGATTTTGGTTTCCCACAGGAAGGAGACAGAGTGTGCAGCCTTGGGCCCCTACCTGGCCAGCTTGGTGAGGATGTCCTGTCTCATGTAGGGGCTGCACAGAGTGCTCCTGTCCACGATGTCAGGTCTCAGGGGGGGCCAGGCAGCTCTGTCACACGGAGCCTGGCTGGGCTCTGACTCCTCAATCCAGGAACAAATGCTCAACCAGTCATGCTGGGCTGTCAGGTGCATCCAGAGCACCTCAGCACTGCAGGTCCTGAGTTCTGCGTTTCAAAAAGGCAAATGGATGAAACCAGCACACACAAACACTCCTGAGGGAAATACTGGTTGTTTTCTTACACAGAACTAGGGAATGGTTTGGGCTGGGACCTTAAAGAGCCAGTGCCATGGCAGGGACACCTCCCACTGTCCCAGGTGCTCCCAGCCCTGTCCAGCCTGGCCTGGGCACTGCCAGGGATCCAGGGGCTGCTCTGGGCACCCTGTGCCAGGGCCTGCCCACCCTGCCAGGGAACAATTCCTCATTCCCAACACCCCATCCAGCCCTGCCCTCTGGCAGTGGGAGCCATTCCCTGCGTCCTGTCCATCCAGGTACCTATTTTTAATGAACAGCTGCCATGAGACCAAGGGCAGCTTTGGAGCCTGACTTTGGCAGAGCTGGAAGCAGTTCCCCAGGGCAGGGGGTGGGACAGGACGTGGCAGAGGGTGGCATTCACACGAGGGTGGCAGAGGGTGGCATTCACACGAGGGTGGCATTCACACAAGGGTGGCAGAGGGTGGCATTCACACAAGGGTGGCAGAGGGTGCCATTCACACGAGGGTGGCATTCACACGAGGGTGGCAGAGGGTGGCATTCACACGGGGCAAGTCCCTTCTAGCTAATTCTAAATCCCTCTCCACAGGAGGAGCCCAGACCCTCAGGAGGGAGCAGGGTGAGACCCACGCCACCCCTGTGAGTGACAGACACAAGGCCCCGTGTGGCTGTCCCCCACCCCTCCCGCAGAGCCGTGCCAGGGCACCCCCAGCCCCCCGAGGCACAGCACTTGCCTTGCCGTGGTGTCCAGGGCAGCAGCAGCATCTCCTGCAGCAGCTGGTCCCAGCAGAGAGCCCAGCTGAGGGTCACCGTGGGCCGGGGGGCGCGGGGGCTGCCCCGGCCCAGCTGGGAGCCCAGCACTGCCCGCGGCCCCGCCAGCTCCTGCTGCCTCCTCCAGCGGCTGCACCTGCAACGGGCCGGGCTCAGGGGGGCTCGGGGGGCTCAGCAGCCCCAGCACAGCACACAGCCCCTGGGGAAGGCTCAGCAAAGCCCCCAGCCCGGCGTGCCAGAGGGACTGACCTGAGCTCCAGGGTTGAGAAGTAAAGAAGTGCCTCGTTTTTCCAACAAACTACGAGTATGGTAACAGTCCTACCATTATTTAACTGTGAAATTGTTTCCTAGGTTATTTGCTTTGCTGTATTAAAGAGATCGTGGATCAAAAGCAGAGCAAACCTCTGAACAGGAATAAGTGAGTGGTGATTCCAGTATTATTATTAAAAACGCTTCCTTGGAAGCAGAGCTGTCACCCTCACAACAGTTTGCCATGACTCACACAGCAGTTTGTCACGAGACAACGGGGCAGCAACTGCCACAGTAATGAGAAAATTACTCAGTCCTCACACTGACTTCTGCAAACCAACACCAGTGTGAAATTAATGAAATTAGAGACTCTATTTGCTAGTGCAGTAAATCTCACAGAATGTAGAATCCAGCACATTTTAAAACCCATTAATGCTATTAATTAAAATTAATAACCCACATTACCTGGAAAGAGGCTGAGTCTCTTCCTTTTCCTGGAAGGATTCCGAGTAGAATCTTTCAACCTGATGCACAAAGTCTATAATTTTCTTCTCTTTTTCAGAAAAATAATTTTCTTCTTGTAAGACTTTCACCTTTAATTCAAAATTAAAATGTTACCTCCACCTGTTAAAATATTACTTCCAACTGCCCCCAGTTTTCATCTATCTTTTATCTATTCAAGTTGTAAATGATGCAGCAAGTGCAAACAATTAACCAACTATAGGAAAAAAATTCTGGAAGCAGAGGGCAATGCACTTAAATGACAAGAGGACTCCAGACTGTGTGAGAGAAGCAGATCAGAGCAATAAGTGACATTGGAACAGCTCTGCAGTTTAAGTGCAGATGCAAAGGGACAGGAATGCCCTCAGGTGCAGGTACAAGCCCTGGCTGTCCCTGCTCTGAAGGTCAGTGCAGTTGGGTTTTCTCAGACTAAGCTCTTTTCTGACCCAGAGATGGGGCAACTGAGAGGTGTTTAAAAGCTTTTTTTCCATTTTCAGTCTCATGAGAAGGGTGAGACAATACAGATGTTATAATTCACACCATGACAATCAGAAGCCAACTATTTCCTAATTACACTCTAAGTGTTTCTTAGCCTATCAGCTTTTACTACACTATACTGTAAATACCTTAAAACCAATCATCTAAAATTACCCCTCGTGGGTCCCACTGCAATGCACCTTTCATGATTCTATGTCTCTAAAACATCTAGTCTTATTTGTAAGGCCATCCTTTGAAACTTGTTTCTAGTTCCACTTCTCCCTCAGCAACGTCTGTGCTGTTCCATAACGTCTCCAAGTCAACATTTCTCACCTCAAAGCTCACATACAAACACACACTGTCAGCCAAGCTGTCTGTAAATCCATTTCCCAGGGTTTCCCTGAGCACAGGCCCAGCTGAGGCTGCAGGGTGGAGCCCAGCAGCCTCGCTGCACTCACCAGGAGCTCCCTGACGTGCCTGTCCTGCGTGTGGAAGCAGATCTTGTGCAGCTCCTGCCTCACGTCCAAGCCCTGCCACAAAGAGACACTCACTGTGAAAGGTGCCCACAGGACACACTGGAAAGGTCAAACCCAGAATGAGCACGGCTGCTTTCCTCCCAAAGCACCCAACCCTGACAAACAGGCTGTGCCAGTCCCTGCCCCAGCTCCTACAGGGATGTCCCTGCTGTCCCCAAACCCTCCCTGAGCAGCTCAGCCAGCAACCAGGCTCCCTCAGCTGCCCACTCCCACTGGAATCCCTCCTGTTTCTGGGCAATCAGCCCACCCCAGGGCCCGCAGCCCCCCGTGCCCTGCAGTCCCAGAGCTCTCACCATGTTCCTCAGCAGCTGCGAGGCCTCCCTGGGGCTGCCCCTCAGCAGGCAGTCATAGACCAGGCTCAAACCTGTCTGCATGAACTCCTGCAGGCTCTCAGCAGGATGCTGCTGCCTTCTGAAGAAGATCTGGGCCTCTGGGATTTTGTTGCTAAGGATGGCCTCAGCAATGACTTCCTAAAGACAAAAACATGGGACAAACGACATCATCCCTGTGCTGATTTTCTTCCCCAGTGCTTTCAGGTATTTCCACATAAATGATCTCCTCATATAAACTTGATCACAGTAGCAAAAACTGGCTTGCTGATTTTCACCTCTGGTGTCAGTTTTTCCCATTTTTGGCTCTCTTCTATCTCAGGCAGGTCCTCATCCAGCTCAGCTCCCGTGTGCCCTGGGGTCACCGCTGGGTGAGGGTATCTCCTCAGGAATTTCCTCAGTCTGATGATGTAATCAGTTAAAATATCTGCAGCCTTCTGCAGGAACTCGTCAGGTTCTGCCAAAAGCATCCAGGAGATCAGTTAAATGGGAATGAACAGACAGGATTTTAATGTTCAGCAATGCTGAATTAATAAATGTGCTGATTATGATTAATAAACAGACACCCCTCAGAGGGAAGAGCACACCAGCTCTGCCCCTGTGCAGGCAGTGAGAGCCCAGCACCTGTCAGGACACAGCCACAACCCCACAGAGCTCCCTGCCCTCACTGAGGGGTTTTCCTGCTCAGGGACCAGTCTGGAGAACTGAAATTTTGTATTATTCCCACCAATTCTTAGTCAGGTAAACCCAATCTAAAACACAGGGATGAACATCTTTCACTCACTTAATTCTAGTATTTTTTTCTGTTAATTCCAGGCAAATCTAAGCTTTTAATTAAAAGAATTAGCAGTTCTTACTTAAATGATGACACATCACTAGATATGAGCCAGCAGGAGTGATCTTACCCTCTGTGTGCACAAAGATTTCCTCCAGCTGCTTGGTGAGGAAAGTCAGGGTGAGGTTCAGGAGCTGCTCAGAGAAGGGCTTGCTGTGAGGCTCCATGTCATTGTCTTGGATTGCTGAGCAGAGCAAGTTTAGAGCTGGCCTGAGCTCCTCCAGATCTGCAAGGGTTCCAGAAACAGCTCACACATCTGCATCCTGCACTGAGCCACGGGGAGAGAGGGATGGAATAAACCCCTGGGCAGCTGAGGTTCTTCACTCACTTCTCAGGTAAGACTGGGAGGCAGCACCCCCAGGGTGCTCAGGCCCAGGGCAGGCTGCAGACAGACTGAAACCACTTTCTTTGCTTTTTAAAAACAAGTCCACTGTGTCCAGCTGGCGATTCTCCAACCCTGCCTGGACAAACAGAAACAGAACAATTAAGCATGGATTTCCACCCATACACCGTGGGATTCTTCCACCATCCTCAGTGACACACACAGAAAACCAGAGGGGATTTAACTCTGTGTGCAGCACCTGCAGGCTGGAGTGACAAGGTGAGCTGCACAGAGCCTGCCAGGCTCCTCTGCCAGGCTCCTCTGCCAGGCTCTGCTCCAGCCCTGCCCTGCATCTTCACACACAAAATGTTATTACAGCAATATGAAGTAAATACTGTGAGAATCAGGACTCTGAATAGGCTTACAGCAATTTTATAAGAACAGCACAATAAACACAGAAATCTAGTTCCAAGGATTTCATATTTTACATTTTGCAAGGGGACACAAACTGCTGCAGAAACTGGCAAAATTCTTTTGGGTCCAATTAAGAGGGAATTTTGAGCACTGCTTTGTTCTCTTTATTTTATGAATGTGCATTCACTTTGCTGCTGTACTTCTTCCTTTGGGTTACTCATCTGCTTGGGGTTTCACTGTTTATTCAATAACTAAACCACATCCTTTTGCCCCTAGGTTTGAGGCACACTTTTAATCGTGTCTAAACCCACACCGGCATTGCTAAACTGCATTCAATGTTTGAAAAAGAGGGTTTGTTGTTTGCAAGGCCTGAGGCAGCTCTCCTCACCTCGAGGGCATGGATGGGAATGGAGCACCTCTCCCACCCATTGAGGTGGCACAGGGAATCCACCACTGCAGCGCTGCCAAACATCATCAGCCTGGTCAGGAACTCCTCCTGAGTGACCCCAAACAGGACCAGGGACAGGCCACGCTCTGAACGACACAACCAAGCCATTATTAAAGACAGAGCAGCCACGGTTTGGGCAGCAGCATTTCTACCCACTGCTGCTTCCAGAGGAGAGGGGCAAAGCTGCAGCGGCTCCGTCTGGATTCCCCCAAGCAGGAATGCAACGAAGCTCCCCACCAGCAGCCAGGTAAAACACTGGAAACCCCTAAAGCAGCTGTCTCAGGACAGCTGACGAGCCCTCACCTGTCAGCAGCAGACACAGTGGCAGCTCTGCACTGCACTCCACGTAGGCACTGCTCCTGCCAAAGTGGGAACACGTCACGTCCTGGGACTCAAAATCCCAGAGCGCCAGAGACAGCCCCGTGCCCTGTGCCTGCAGCACAAACACAGCCTTAGCTCCAGTCACCAGTTTGCACTCCAGCTTCACCATCTCCTGGGCTGCTCCCACGGGGATTTGTGCCCACTGCTGTCCTGCAGCCCCGGGCTGGCCTTGGAGGGCTGGGGAAGCTGCCCACGTCACAGCCCGGGGGACAAAGGCCACCATCCTCTCTGGATCCTCACAGACTTCAGGATCGTGATCTTCAAGATGGGTCAAGAACTGATACCAAGGCAAATTCAAGTCGTTCACCAAACCTGGAGAGCCTGGTGTTCTCCTTCCCCTCACTCTGTCCCACAGTGAGGACAGGTGTGCCTTCCAGGACCTGCCGAGGGGACAGAGTCACCTGTAACACCCGGCATTACCCCATGAACAAGGCAGGCAAAGCTGTGTCAGTTAAATAAAATGCACTTAGAGCTCATAAAATCTATCCAGCATCCTGCATTTTAACCTTACCATGGCCTCTTTATTTGCATTTAAATACTCCCTGCAGCCAAGCTGAGAGACCGCAGCTGGATCAGCTGACAACATCCATGTTCAGCATTTTTAGTGAAAAGTTTTCTTTTCCTCACAGAAAATGCCAATTTTCTGTGAGGAAAAGATGGTAGAACAAATAGTTATAGACAGCTATATATAAATTATAGTTATAGATAGTTATATATAAATGTTCTACTATTTTTAATTGATAACAAGTAGTTATCAATTAAAAAACTGTAGAACAGAATTAACTCCAGAGCTGAACCTTTCTCATCTATACACCAAGCTATAACTGGCATGCTCCATTAGTACCAATGCTCTAAGACTCAGAGTAACCCCCAAGCAGCAATTCCTTTTGGAAGCTGTCCAGTGCCATACCTAAAGCTGTCTTGGTCCACCCCAAACCCAAAACATCTACAGCAGAATGGCTGATTTTACCTGCCACAGCTACAAGTGAAAAAGCAGATCAGCAGTTTATTATCAGTGCTCCAAAGGAGGCAAAGGCCAGCCCGTGCAGGAGGCTCTCCCTCCTGTACCTGTCTGTGCGGAAAGGTGCTGACAGGAGCTCCATGCTGTGCTCAGAACTGGCCAGCTCATCCTCGTCCAGTCCCTCTGGAGGCTTCACTGCAAGATTTTCAGGATCTCTCTTACAGAGCAAATGTTCAGGGAATTGTCTGTAAAGAAATAAATACGAAATTTCACCTTGCTCTGCTGATTTAAGATGGTTTTTCATGTTTAACTCCTCCAGGAGCTCCGGGTGCAGTTTTCTCTCAGGGTAACAGGTGAGACATCAAAACCTGATGCTCCTTCCTTTGAGGTGGACAACACCTCTTAATTACCACCTGGCCCTAATTCATCAAGCTAAATCAGCACAGCTGTACCAGTACAGTTTGATCATTCCACACCCCACAGTATTTCTAAAAGGTTCTACCACCCACCCCTGGCACTGAGAGCACCTCCTCTTCCTGGCAGAAATGTGAAAGGCAAGAAAAGGTTTACCTGCTCGTTAACAGGCAGATTTAAATGAAGAGCTGTTATACATACAGTTTCCTTTGTGACAGAGAATACATTAGAGCAAGCAATGCAAGGACAATCTTTAAACAGAGAGGGAATCTCTGCTCGAGCACAGAAGTCAGAGTGAGAAGCTGCCAGCACCCCGGTGAGGACAGGCCCAGAACTCAGGAGCTGGGAGGGTCAGGGCAGCCCAAAGGGCTCCCCTGGGAGCTGTACCTGAAGTAGGTGTTGAGCTGCACAGCCAGGGCACGCTGGCAGCTGCTGGTCACCACGGCCGTGCTGAGGTCAGGGGACACTGCCAGGGCAGCCAGGGGGGACACAGGGCCCTGGGCAGCTCCCAGGGCTACAGCCACCTTCCCCAGGGTGGCTCCATCACAGCAGTCAAATAGGTCTGCAAACAGCATCAAGGAAAAGCCCAGACAGAGCAGTTACACACCAGGGGAAGGTGCTGAATTTTGGCTCCAGGAGGAGGGAAAGGCAAGCTGACTTTACTGTGCTTTAATGTGCCAGAGGAGACGACCAGGGACAGGGTAAAGGCAGCAGCTGGTGGAGCTGACAGGCCTGAGCCCCTGCTCATCCCAGCACAAACCTGCCTCCCAGGCTCCCTGTGAGCCTGCAGATCATTTCAGTTTCAATTTAGCCATGAGGTGACAGTAGAAGTTCTACACAGACCCATGAATCAAACCCCTCCATGGAACCCATAAACCCAGATGTGCACTGGGAAACCCTGCACACACAGCTGTGGCACTTCTCTACAACAGCCAGGATTTGGCTGCACAACCTTCTCTGCAGGCACCACTTCAGTGTCTGTAAAGAAATTTCTGCTCGGCCCTGAGAGCAGAGAAAGGCAATTTGCTCTTGCAGATGATTTTCCCCGATCTCTCCTGCAAAGGATACAAATCCAGCCAGCACTGTCCAACAGGAACAGGATCCCCCTGCAGAACTGGGAGTCTGCAATTCTGCCCACAGCTCCTGGAGGCAGAGCCAGGGGGAAGCAGCCACAGGTCTCTGGGGGTGAGTCCTCCCCAGGAAAGGTCAGGTGCACAAGGACAGACTGGTTGAGCAGAAGTTTGAACTTGTTGTTTCCAAAAGACAGAATCTTCACAGAGGAAATTGAAGGCAGACCTGAAAATTTAAAGATATTTAAATTTCAGATTACAGCCAGCTGGGACTTTTGATTTGTAAAGGGATCCCAGCAGGAGCAGCAGAACCAGACCTGCAATATTTCACACGTGTAACACACTGAAATTTACTCACTTATGTTTTTGGCTTCAAGGAGCTTTTTAAGTGTCTCTGCCTCACAACTGTGCAGGGAACTCGGGTTGTGTTTTCCATCTTCTACGCTGAATTCATAGACAAACAGGTCATGGCTTTGAGCAAGAGCCAGGAGCTTTGTCTCGCTGGATTGTGAACCATCATCTTCTGAGCTGTCCCACACGAAGCTGAAGGTGAAACATTCAGGAAGGTTATGGCTTTATTCCCTGTGCCCACCCCACTCTGGATGTGCCCTGACTGGGGACACCACCTCCACTTCAGAGTGAAACCCCTGCTCCACCCGACCCCCAGCACTGAACTGCTTCATCCCCGGCAGGACAAGCCTGAGGAACTCCTCCTCCTCCTCCTCCTCTGCAGGACAAAGGGGCTCCATCCCCTGCATTTTCCACTCTGGCCACCCAGGACACCAGGGATGCTCTGCTTCAGGAGAACACCAGCACCAGGGAGAGCAGAACACGCTGCCCATTTCCAGACTTTTCCCTGCTTTTTGGGCCGAGAACCTCTCTGGGTGTGTCACACCTGCTCCGTGGCGCTGGGGAGGGGACAGACAGTGACCAGCTCAGCACGGGGCAGGGCAAACCAGAGAGCAGAGCCCTGTGACAGCACTGAAACACCCCGGGCCAGGCTGGACAGGGCTGGGAGCACCCCGGGACAGCGGCAGTGTCCCTGCCACGGCCGGGGTGGCACTGGGTGGCATTAAGGTCCCTGGAAGCCGAAGCAGCTGGGGACTGTGTGTGACACAGAATGTGCGGCTGGTGCTGCAATGCTCAGCGCTCAGGCGTGCTTTTGGCTTTTGGCTCAGCACGGCAGCTGCCAAAGCAGATGCTGAAGGCACCACGCGTTAAAGCCACCACGCGTTAAAGCCACCACGAGGTAAAGCCACCACGCGTTAAAGCCACCACGCGTTAAAGCCACCACGCGTTAAAGCCACCACGCCTTAAAGCCACCACGAGGTAAAGCCACCACGAGGTAAAGCCACCACGCGTTAAAGCCACCACGCGTTAAAGCCACCACGCCTTAAAGCCACCACGAGGTAAAGCCACCACGCGTTAAAGCCACCACGCGTTAAAGCCACCACGCGTTAAAGCCACCACGCCTTAAAGCCACCACGAGGTAAAGCCACCACGAGGTAAAGCCACCATGTGACCGCCGAGTGTCACCCGGGCGCAGCACTCAGGGCACGGGGGCGCGAAGCCAACAGCCCGACAGACAAACCCTTCCTGTCTGCTCTGGGCTCGGCTGCCGTGGGCACGCCCGCCCGGCCGGACGGACAGACAGACACAACCTGGCCGGACAGACAGACACAACCTGGCCGGACGGACAGACACCGCCCGGCCGGACAGACAGACAGACACCGCCCGGCCGGACGGACAGACACAACCTGGCCGGCCGGACAGACAGACAGACAGACACAACCTGGCCGGACGGACAGACACCGCCCGGCCGGACAGACAGACACAACCTGGCCGGACGGACAGACAGACGCGACCCGGCCGGACGGACAGACACCACCCGGCCCCGCCGCGGCTCCGGAGCGCTCCCGTTGCGGTCCGGCAGCCCCGCCCGGCCCGGCCCGGCCCGGCCCGCACTCACTCGGCCCAGGCTCCCGGCAGGACGCTGCCCCGGGCCCGCCCGGCCCCGCCCGGCCCCAGCGACTCCAGGCGGATGGCTCCGGCCGGCAGCACGGTGCCCAGGGCGTGCCGGGCTCGGCTCAGCCGCACCCGCGCCGCGTCCCGCGGCTGCCCCGAGCGGGGCACCAGGAGCACACGCAGCTCCGGCCGCGCCCCGGCCGCCGCCATCCTCCTGCCCGGCCTCAGCGCCCGCCCCGCGCCGCCGCCATCCCGGCGGGGCCGCCCCTCGTTCCGGTCAGCTGGGCGCCGCCGGGCCGCGACTACAACCCCCAGCACGCACCGCGCGCAGCAATGCGCGCCGGGAGATGTAGTCCCCCCGGCCCGCCGCTTGAGCAGCTTTCTTTAGGTAGCGTTCTCTGTGTGTTTTCTCTGATTTCTGTTGCAGATGGATCCCCCTGGTATTTCTGTGTCCCCGCTCTGGGGCAGCGGCTGTCCCGGGAGCCCCTCAGTGTCCCCATTCTCTGTCCCGGGGGTCCCTCTACGTCCCGGGACTGTCCCGGGGTCTCTCCGTGTCCCCAGTCGCTGTCTCGGGGTCTCTCCGTGTCCTCCCGTGTCCCCTCTCTGTGTCCCCGGGGTCTCTCCGTGTCCCCACCCGCTGTCCCGGGGGTCTCTCCGTGTCCCCTCTCCCTGTCCCAGCAGTCCCCCCGTGTCCCCTCCCCGGCCGCAGCTCCGCGGGGTCCCATCACGAAGGCGGAGAGGCCACGCCCCCACATGGGCGTTGTTCCCAGTATCTCCTCTCCCATTGGCCCTCCCCGGCCACGCCCCCGGTCGCCATTGGGCGGCGGCGGCCCCGCCCAGGCGGAAGCGCCGCGGCCCGCGGGCCGATGGCGGAGCGCGGCCATGGCGCTGGCGCTGGCGCTGCTGTGGCAGGCGCTGGGCCGGGTGTGGCGGAGCCCCGCCGGTAGCGCCCGCCATGCGCCCCCGAGCCGCGCCATGGAGCACGACAGGGCCATCGAGGTCTACGGTGACTGCCGGAGGGCGCGGGGGCCGTGCGGGGAGCCCCGGGCGTGGTCCCGGTTTGCCCTTGGGGGCTGAGGGGGAACGCGCGCGGCCCTGAGGGGCTCGGAGCGCTGAGGGGCCCGAGGGGCTGGGGCAGGGAGGAAGGGCCCCTTTGGCTCGTTGGGATCGCTTGTGGCTTCCAAGGAGAGCAGCACGAGCAGTGCCGGGAAGGGGTGCTGGTGAAAATGCCTTTTGTGAGAGCCGGGAGGATCCCTCACTGTGCTCGCTTGTGTCAGATATCATCCGGACTATCCGCGACCCGGAGAAGCCAAACACTTTGGAGGAACTGGAAGTGGTGACAGAAAACTGCGTGGAGGTGCAGGAGATAGGGGAGGATGAATATCTGGTCATCATCAGGTTTACACCAACAGTACCTCATTGCTCCTTGGCCACTCTGATCGGTGAGATCCGGTTAATTACATCACTAACAAAGAGCTCGGCTCCCGGGAGGCTGAACGTGCCAGCAGGCCCAGGGCACGTTCAGCCTTGCCTGGCTGTGTGGGTTTGATCAGGAATTGCAGCTTGAGAGCCCAACCACCAGTGCAACCAAACCAGAAACTGAGCAAAAAAAAAACCCAAATCCAGAGAAATGGGGACGCCCATGTGTTTGTCATGTTAGGGAATCTCTTCAAGAGAACTTCTAAAAACTCTGCTGGGAAGTGGTACAGAATTCTTTGTTTGCATTCTCCAAGTTACTTCATTGATGTTATTAATTGCCAATTTGTCAGCTCTTACATTAAGAAAAAAACAAAAAGAAAAAGAGCTTTCTGCTTGTCCCCTTTCCCTCTGGCAGGTGCTGCTCAGAGTACAAAGGGTTACACTGGTTGTTAAGCATGGATTCTCTGAAAATGCTCCTCAGACCTTCTGTTTTACAGGAAAATCTCTTTTGTGTTCTCTTTTAACAGGCCTTTGTTTAAGAATAAAACTTCAGAGATGTTTGCCTTTTAGACACAAGGTAAAGTGCCTGGTTTGAAGCCTGTTTTAAATTCCATGAATGAATGGCAGCCTCCCTAAATTCAACACAGAGATTCACAGACCTTTAGAGACTTGACCACAGTAATTTAAAGAGCACATTAATTACCTGGGGGTCGCTGCAGTTGGTTTTTGGGTGGTGGCTCCACGCTCCCAGCTGAGCTCTGCAAAGGGAGCTCAGTCCCCTCCTGTGTGTGTGGGGACGGGGTTTTCCTGCCAGGAGGGAAGTGTTCCCCTGCCCTGCTGCCCCTAATTACACTGCTGATCTCTCCTGCAGCTGGAAATCTACATTTCTGAGGGCACACATTCCACGGAGGAGGACAGTGAGTAGAGCCTGTGCATGCATGGCTTCAGCCTCTTGTGCTCTGTCCTCTGCTCCCCTGCCTTCCCAGAAACTAATCCCCTGAAACCTCAAATCAGAGCCTGGACACCCAGTGGCATCAGGGTGTTCCCAGGGCTGTGCTGGCTCTGTGACCACTGCTGCTTGCTGGTTTGGTTTTATAACCAAACCCCCCCAGTTCTGGCAGGTGTTGGTAACAAAACTGAGTAACTGACGTGAGGAGCTGCCTCAGCTGTTGGTCCCGCTGTCCTGAACTCCCCACTGCAAATCTGGACGTTTCTCAGGCAGGTTTTGCAGGAAAGCTGGCAGGTTGTGCCCAGCCAGAGCCAGGCCCTGTCCCAGCAGTGCCCTGGGCTGGCACTGCCTGCCAGAAATGGGACATTGTGCCTGCCAGAAATGGGATATTGTGGCTAAAGAGCTGCAAACTGAACCTGGGCCACTCATGTACCCTGAATTTCACTCTTGATTTTGGGACATGCCACTGGAACACCTCACACCCTTTTCCTGAGCTGGAAAAGTGAATTATTATCATTATTATAATTATTGCTTTGTTGTGACTGCGCTTGCAGCTGCCTCGCTCCCCATTTCCCAGTAATGCCCCTGGAAATGTCCTTTCCTGCTGAGCCCCCGGTGTCCCTGAGCCCTCCTGAGCCCTGTCCTGGGTGTTTTGCAGTCAACAAGCAGATCAATGACAAGGAGAGGGTGGCAGCAGCCATGGAGAACCCCAACCTGCGCGAGATCGTGGAGCAGTGCGTGACTGAGCCCGACTAGGGACCCCAGCCTGGGACAGCCCTGCTGCCAGCCCAGCAAACCACAATCACCAAGGCCTTGGGGTTAATACTTGAGTTGTTTTTACCTTCCATGTGTTTTTTTTTTAAAGAGAAATTGTTTATAAGATAGATTTTAAATTATGAGGAATCAGTCTCTAAAGAAAGCCCGGTGTGTAGTGCTGGAAGTTTGTAATTTTTGGTGTCCAGAGGAATATTTTGTGATTCAAAGCAACACATCTGCATTGCCTTCTGAGAGACGTTGTGATACAAATTCAGTTTTGCAAGTTGAATTTCTACATTGTTTCAATCACTGCACTGTAAAAATAAAACAGATTCTTGTACTGAAATGTTGCTTTCTGGGTCCTGAATTTGTTTTGGTTTTTATTTAAGGATCAAGTGTAGATTTCTATTACAGAAATTAATTTCATTCACCTTCTTCGGTGTTGATAAACATTAAAGCTGAAATTAAGTCAGAAAAAGAATTTGGAGCTGAGGGACTGGACTAGAACAAGGAGATTTTTACTGGGACACAATTCCTGCTAAATCCTCATGCTCTGTTAATGTCACACACTTCTGATTCTGGAAGCTTTGCTTTATAACCACCCTGAGGCTGAAGTTTCCCTGTGGATGAGAACTTGATCCTGCTTTTCCTGAGTTGCCTGCAGTGTGTGACAGCGTCCCCCAGCCCCTCCTGCTGGCTGCCACTGTCCTGCTCCTGTCACTGCTCCTCACCTGGAGCATCCCTAACGCTTCCAGCTGCCCACCTTTCCCACTGGGCCATTCCCCGGCTCCTTCCAGCAGCTCTGGATCTCAGCATGGATTCACCTTTCCCTGGGGATCAGGGGGTTCCTCCTGCTCCTCCTGCCAGGTGTCCAGGATCTGCAGCCGTGGCTGCTGAGGGGTTTGGGGAGCTGCTCCTCCCCGGAGCGCTCCCTGGTTTGTGGCTGTTCCACAGTGACAGATCCTCGGGGCATGGTGCAAACATCTCTGGGGATTTCAGGGATTTGTGGCCCTTTTAATCAACCCTATAAAGCTTCCCTGAATGGATTCAGCATTATAAAGAGGGAACGTTCCCCTTGGCAAACCAGTGAACTGCTCCGTGGCACTGCAAGGCCCCTCCTCTCAAGTGCCAAGCCAGCTGAAAAAATTAATTAAAGGGAAAGGAGAACAATCCCCTTTTTTCCACAGGTTCGTGCAGGTGTGAAAAAAACCCCACTTCTCAACTCCAGTTTCTCAGCTTCAATTAAACTTCAGTTGCATTTCAAACTCCTTTGTAGCCCCATGGCCAGATGTGTCTCACGTGCCAGCACAGGGGACACGTCCCGTGTCCCACCCCACGGCTGGGAAGGGCCCGGGCAGGTCACTCCTTCAGGAATGCACCAAATGCTCCAGGAGCCTCAGCTGCCATTATCTGCTGGCTTCTTTCCTGGAATTTGTTGGGGGTTTTTTACCCTCCAGCAGGGGGGTTGGTGTTTTCCTTTCAGAGTGCAGATATCTGTGCCAGCACGGAGGCTCTGTGCATCCTGGGGCCATGAGATAGCAGCTGCTCTCCCTGGGTGGGCTCCCGGGGCTCTGTGTGCCCCTCACAGCTCGGTGCCACCGCCCAAACCGCACTCCCAGCTGTGACAAAAGCTCAGGGGACAGGCAATGGGATGCTCTGGTGACAATGAGGTGACTCTCCTGGTTCCTGCAGTGCCCTGGGGTCCTTAGCCCTGAGGGCTTTGTGCTGGGGCATAAAAGGTTAAAAGTTCTTCTCCGGAGCAACAATTTGGGAAAATGGGCTCGATCCCAAGCCCAGGTCTCTGGAACAGGAATGTTCCCAGTTCCTCGGGCAGTGGAGCATGGCTGGAGCTCTGGGAGTGACTCCCGGTCTGCTGCACCCCCAGCCTTTCCAGTTTAACCGGGCTCGGGGTCTCCGTCCATCCCCGCCGCTGTGCCCCACGGAGCGGGCGGGCAGAGGCTTTGCTGCCATCGGCCTTTGGGGACACGGAGGTGACAGAGGAACAGCCAGCGAGCGGGACACGAGGAGGGGACGGGGACAGCTCCAGGGGGATCCCACCGGGCAGGATTTGGGGTGCTGGCGGAACTCGGGCTGTTCCCCCAAACCCGGGAGCAAAAAGTCCTAAAATCGTTCCTTCGGGTTATGAATCCTTTGCATTTACAGCGCAGAGGGACAACTGCAGAGGGCACCAGCGACCCACGGCACCGCTGTGCCGGGAGGAGCCTCCCGGCTCCGGGGCCAGCCCGGGGATCCTCCCGGCTCCGCGGCCAGCCCGGGGACCCTCCCGGCTCCGGGGCCAGCCCGGGGACCCTCCCGGCTCCGGGGCCAGCCCGGGGATCCCTCCCGGCTCCGGGGACCCCCGGCTGCCCCGTGCCCGTCACCAGCAGCAGCCCCCGGGGTTCGCTGCAGGAGCTGCGGACGAGCTGGAAGCGGAGGAGCGGACGGGGCAGGGGTTGAGCTGAGCTGAGCAGGCTCTGCCCTTTCGCTGCTGTTTCCCGGCGTGGATCACGGAATCTCTGAGGTGAAGGGGCCGGGCTCTGTGCAGGTACCCCGGCAGGAGGCTGCGCTCCGGGGGTCACCGCTCTGCAGGGGCTCAGAGCAGCAGAGAGCTCAGCACACCCCCAAAACCCGGAGCAGGGGAGCTCAGGCAGGGGGGAGCACCCCGAGCCCAGGCTGAGCTCCTGGCCTGGCTCAAACCTCAGCCCAGCAGAGACATTCCCAGCTCTGCTCCCCCCAGGCAGTGCCTTTTGCTCCCCCCTGCTGCCCCTTTGCCCCGACACGCCGAGCGATTTCCAGCAGCCCCTGGATTCCCGCTGGCGTTTCCAGGGCTGACATCCCGTTCCATCCCGGACCTCCCGGAGGAGGAGGAGGAGGAGGAGGGCCGGGGGCTGCTCCCCTGCCCCCAGGGCCGTGCAGAGGGCTCGAGTTTGCACACACTTCACTCGGGGTGTAGCTGTCACTCACCGCAGATGGCAGCGGAGCAGTCGCGCGTAGGGACAGAGCTGTTTCTATCGGGTGTTCCTAAACGTTTACACCCGGCTGAGCCTTCCCTCGGTCGGGCCGGGGCTGTGGGCTGGTGGCAGCCCTGCCCTCCCGCAGCACATGCCGAGCGGCTTTACTGCATTTCCCAGGCAGGCGGCTGCTCCGGCTGAGCGAACACACCGTGCCCGGGTGCCAGCTGGGGAGGGGGCAGCTCCTTTCCCTCCGGCCCTTTTCCGTGCTTTACTTCCCACCGGGAATGTCCCTGTGCCACGGGCAGACCCGGGATGAGCTGCTGCAGCACCCCGAGGTGGGTGGGTGGGTGGGTGAGGGCTGTTCCCTCCCGGAGCAGCTGGCAGCGATCAGCTGCCAATTAAAATCCAAACAAAAAGATAAACCAGTGACATTTTTCAAATCCTTCCCTTGCTGTCCTGGCTTTGCTGCCCCTCTGTGCCGTGCCTGTGAGGCCTTTCTGTGCAGCACAAGGAGGTTTTAAGAACAAGAGGAAATAAACCCATTTCTCATTATTGGACAGGCGGGAGCTGAGCTGCTCCTGCTCCCTCTGGCTTTGCTGCCTCCTCGCCTGCCCAGGCTGGGACCGTGCTCCTCCCCGTCCATGGTGAAGGACTGGTGACCCTAAAACCCTCCAGCTGAGGTCATCTGGGCTGGACAGAGGCGTTTGGTGAGTCTGAATCTGTGACCACAGGTGCTCTGCCAGGAGAGCCGGCGGCTCCCGGGGCTGTGGAAGCACTTGGAGCGTTCCCAAGGGTCTGAGACACAAACAAGCTCCTCCACCAGCAGCTGCTGCTGCTTCCCACCCAACGAGCTCCTCTTCCTTCCTGTCTCCAGCGTGGAAATGTCTGGAGGTGACCAAGGCAGGCACAAAGGTCTGACTTCTGATCTGAAGCCAAAAGGCTCTCTCAGAGAGTCTTCCAGCAGGTCATGGAATCACAGGGTGCTTTGGCTGGGTAGGACCTGAAAGCCCATCCAGTCCCAGCCCGTGGCAGGGGGAGGACCTGGATGGGCTTTCAGGTCCCTTCCCACCCAAACCATTCCACGATCCGATTTCAAACATCTTTTGATCCACGAGCCCTTTCCTCCCTTCGCCCCACTGCAGCAGCTGTGTCTGAATAACATCCTGCTTGAGTTGAGACAATGAAAGCGCCTTTAGGAGAAGAAAAAAGGCATTTCTATATCCCATCCAAGCCTGCCCTCTGTCAGTGGGAAGCCATTCCCCCTTCTCCTGTCACGCCAGGCCCTTGTGAAGAGCCTCTTTCCAGAGACACTCACTGGAGGTGTCTCACTGAATGAAAATATTGCAGATATTTCAGCCAGATGTGTTTTATTGTCACTGATAATGCAGTTTCTGTGCTGGTGGGAGGCCTGGCTTGTTATGTGGCTAGAAGTGGCCTGGTGTCCCACAGGAGGGATTATCCTGTGCCCCCAGCCAGCCACAGCTGGGACCCTGCACGAGGGGCTCACCAGATCCTGGGCCACAAAGAAATAGATGTGCAGAACTGATTTACCCCATCAGCCCGGCTCATGTTTTAATCAACAAATCCCAGTTGCAAAGGGCAGCTGTGAATGATTTTCAGATGCAAACTGATCGTTCCTTCCTGCTGCCAGTGCCCGAACCATCTCCAATTAGCCGAAAACGTTCGGAATTCCCCACGGGGAGGAGAAAATGTGAAACCCACCTGTTTCCTTCAGTAACTGTTTAATTTAACACACTTGGTGAGCTGTGGCCGTGAGACCCCCAACAGAAGGGTTGTCCCTTTGCAATCCTGGGAGGGTGACGGGGTGTGGGACAGATGGTGCTGGGGACAAGGAAACCAGGACTGGACACAGGTTCTTGGACCATAAAAACTTTACACCACCTTGGAACGGAATAAAGCACAAATGCTGAGGTCATGGCTTGTGTTTTGCATACAAATCACACACAGGAATTTGGGCTGAGTGCTGCCCAGGGAGCTGCACCTGGAGCTCTGCAGCCCGGGATGGGCTCCAGCCTGACTCTGCCCGTGCAGGGAGGATTGCCCTTCAAGGTCCCCCAGGTTTTGGGCACCCTCCACAGCCTGAAGAGTAATAGGGAAAGGAATTCCTACCTAAATGCTCCTGCCCTCCTCCAGAGACCGACGTGGCAGGAATCCCTCCCTGAGACAGGGAGGGATTTGTTCCCACACCGCTCTGGGAGCAGGCAGTAGGGGCTGTGCCTCAGAGTAAATTGGATATTCTAGTTAAAAATCAGCTAACCTTAACAGAGGAGAATCTAGATAAGCAGGAAAAAAAGGGTTCAGCCTGTAAGGCCGCAGAAAAAAAACACCTTAACCAAGCATTACACTGCTACACTTAGAGAAATCCAGGGACTGAGCACCTGGCTGCCCACGAGGGAGGGGATGTGCCACTCTCCTGCCCAAATGCATGCAAGGGAATGCCCTGGTGGACTCCAAACCACGGTGTCCCCAGTGATGCCCTCTGCTCCAGAGGGACACAAAAATGGCTTTGGCAGAGGAAGCCAGCAATGGGGAGACAGAGCCCTGCACAGCCCCAACTGCAGCTGAAACTTTATTCCTCTGCCCTGCCTCCACTTCTTAAATTAAATCTATTTAGCTTCAGTGCGTAAACATTTTAATGAAAATTACAGGAGTGGGTTGCCAGCTTCAAGTCCTTAAAGGCAAAAAAAAAAATCCCTACCCCAAAGGGTCGGCAGAGCTGGTGGAATGCTGGATGCTCACCTCAGAGATATAAAAATAACATAAAAATCAAGGTTCGTGCTGGCCAGCCAACACCTTCGAGAGGCTGCAAATGTCAAATGATAGCACCATACGCATTTCAGAGAGGTCTTCCCCGAATTATTGCTGCTTTCATTCCCCTTCCCTCTGCCTCCCTGGCGTGCCAGGGCAGGGTGCCCCGGCAGCATCCCCTGGGATGTCGGTGGGAGCAGCGGGACCCCCCGGCCCGGCCGTGCTGTGAGCACCGTGTGAGAGTAGCACGAGTTACCGAGCCCGGGCGGGTCCGGCAGCCTGGGGACAGCGCTGTCACCCGGGTCCGGCAGCCAGCCTGGGGACAGCGCTGCCACCCGCGGGTCCGGCAGCCAGCCTGGGGACAGGCTGTCACCTGCGGGCCAGGCGCTGGTGGCCGCGGGCGGGCAGCGGGCCGGGCTGGCGGCAGCTCCGGCAGCACTGGGCACGCACGGTGGGCAGCGGGCACCGGCCCAGCAGCCGCAGCGTCTGGCAGAAGGCGAAGGTCAGGCGGTCGCGCTCGCAGGGGACACCTGGAGGGGAAGCAGGAGCACAGGAGTGTCACAGACGTGTTTATGGAAAATCCTTTCGGCAGGATCTTTTCTCCTGAGAAGCTTCAGCCTCTCCATGTTTTGCTGCTTTGGAGAATTGTTTACCCCGCGTGTGAAATTGTTTTGAGTTGATGACCAATGACAGCCACCTGTGTCGAGGCTGTGAGCAGTCACAAGATTTTGTTATTCATTCCTTCCTTTCCTTTCTAGCTGGATCCTCTCTATTCTTTTTAGTATAGTTTTAGCGCGGCATATTAATATAATATAATATCATAATAAATCAGCCTTCTGAAACACGGAGTCAAGATTCTTGTCTCCTCCCTCATGCTGGGACCCTTGAACACAACCGCACAGGAGGGCGTCAGTGCCGGTGTCAGCACGGTCACCAGGTGTCCCATGTGGGAATGAGATGCTGGTTAAGGTCCCTTCCAGCCCAAACCCACCCAGGGTTCTGTGGAAGCTGGCTGGAGACACGGACAGGGCTGCCCTGGGCAGAGCCCTCCTGCACCTGGGCACCTGGGCACTGCCCATCCCCAGCAGAAAGCACCCCTGGGCTGCTGCCAGCAGCTCCAAAGCAGCTGCCCAGGGCACAGAGCTGAGGTGCAGGGGACAACCCCCCCACAGTGTCCCCCCCTGCCAGCCCCCAGCCCCCCCAGTGCCAGCGGAAGGGCCAGAATTCCTTTTGCTCTGAATTGTTTTGGTTATTTTGAGGACCTGCATCATCTGGTTTGCTTCCTGCAGCTGTCCTGCAGCCCTCAAAACAACTCCGGTGCTGCTCTGAGGATGGGCTTTGTTTAGGGAATGGCTGCTCCCATGGCAGCCCAGGCCCACCTGGGCTCAGCCCGGCAGCACAGACCCATCCCCAAACACACATGGTTTATATGAACACAGAGCTGCTTTGTTTGAATTTTTGATTTCCTCTCTCTATCTCGGAGCAAGGCACGACTCGCTGAGCCTGCAGCTTCTCACCCAGTGGTGTCAGACTCACTTAAATTACACCAACTCAAAACCGAGCCTAAGCTTAAAATCTAAGATTCTGTGATTCCAGTTTTACCTCCTGTACAAGGAATGAAAATAGGTGACAGCTTCTCTCTGGACAAGGGCAGAGCTGATGCACTCTGGGGCCAACCCCCCATTGCTTCTCCCTGGGACCAGGACCACGCAGAGCAGGGACAGAAATGGGGCAGGGAAATGGGATTTTCTCTTTCTCAGGACACTTCTCTGCAGGGACAACGCCGTGACCGAGCCAGGGGAGCTGTCACTGGCCACTGCCCTCGCCCTGTCCCCTCTGGAACGAGGGCTGTGCCGAGGGAATGCTGCTGCCCCGTTCCCAGGGGAGAGCCGGAGCGAGGGATGCGGCGGATGCAGAGCAGAGACTTCTCCCTGGTTTGGGATTTCAGCCACAGCCCCCTCCCCCAGCCCAGCAGCGAGGAGCTCACTACACTGCTCTAAAACTTATTTTCTCTTTCGGCTGAGGTGTTTCCTCCCTGCCTCCCCAGCTGCAGCTCTTTGTGCCCGGCCAGGGTGTCCCTGTGCCCCCAAAAAGCAATTTATGCCTGCACTGCTGGATCCACAGTGCTGACAGAGCGGGATGGAGGGATCCCAGCTTCACACCACACCTCAGCCTGCCTGCTGGGACAGCAGCAGTGGGTTTTCCCTGCTGGGTGAGCAGAGCAGATGAGGAATCCCTGCCCAGCCCAGGCCAGGAGTGCAGCACATCCCAGACCTGCTGTGGGAGCGCCAGAGCCACTGGAACAAGGGAAGTGCTTGAGGGTGCTGTGCTCCACGGGGCTGCCAGGATAATATCCCCTGGGAGCATCCCTGTGGCTGCACAAGGCAGCCCCTGAAGCCCAGCCCTGCTGCACTGGGACGCTGGAGCACAGGAAGACAGGCACTGCTGCAGGACAGGGGTGGCTCAGCAGGGCTCCTAAAGCACCTCAGGGCTGTCCCATGACAGTGGCAATCAGCCTGGATGCCCACGGAGGGCTGGGAATGTCCTGGGCCCTGCTGGGGGATGCCCAACCCCTCAGGACATCCAGCACTCGCAGCTTCCTAGAGAGTTATTTATGGATCACAACCAAGCTGCCTCCCGCCTTCCTTGGAAAGAGCTGGGAGCTGCTCTCCAGGCTTGGAGTGATGGTTCAGCCCCTTCCTGCTCCCTGCCCAGCGGGCCAGCACCCTGGGCCCATCAGGAAATTCCTGTCCCATGGCCAGCACCCCGAGCCCACCCTGCCAGGGGTCACAGCTCCCTGAACACCCCCCAGCCACACGGCACGGGAGCACTGTGCACAACTGCAGGGATGGGGAGCAGAGGCACCACCCTTGGCTGCAGGCTCTGCTGACCTTACAGGAGACCCCAGGGCTCCAAAGCCAAGTGACCTCATGGATCGTAACATATCCAGCTTGGAAGGGACCCACAGGGATGATCCAGCCCGAGTCCTGGCCCCGCACAGGACACCCCCACAATCCCACCCCATGCCTGAGAGCATTCCCAACGCTCCCTGAACTCAGGGAAGCCAGTGGGAGTCGTTGAGGGCTTCAGTTCCCATCACTTTCCCAGATCCTGCTGCAGTCTCAGGGTGGATGCATGCGGGGTCAGGATCAGGTCTGAAAATCTTGGCTGAGCTTGTGATTCCTCCCTGGAATTCAGTCTTGGGCAAGGGAAGCTGTAATAAGCACTTAATTTGTCAGCTCTTCAGAGAGGGACCTACAAACCCACCCAATTTTCATTGAATGCTTTTACTGCTATTTCTTTCTATTAACAATTTTTTATATAATCCTCGCACTTCATTTGGAAACACATTCCATAAGTCCGTGCCAAATTTTAGGCTAAAGAAATAGCTTAAAGCAGGGGTTTAAAAATCCAGGCTAAGTCAGCACATTAGAGACTGAAAACCCCCACTTTTTTTAGGGCTGTTTTTTTAGGTCGGTGTGGAAGTCGCTTTAAATTTCATTTAAGCTTCTGCCAGCCAGATCTAAGCTTTTACTTTTATTCCTGGGAAAAACAAACTTCCTGGAACACGTTTTGTAAAAACAAGGAAAGGTTGAGCTTGGAGCTGAGCTAGCAAATCCAGGGAATTAGGCTGCTGACCTCTGGCCCTCGGGATGCTCTCAGAGCTGAATTTAACAAGTAAATTATCCCAGAGTCCTGCTCTGGGGCTGAGGTGCCTCCTGTGGTGTCTGGTCAGCATGAGGGGATGGAGGGGATGGATGGGATGGAATGGAGGGGATGGAGGGGGTCATCCCCACTGACACAGCCACAGCTGGGAAAACTGGGAGAAACCCCCAAACCCCACAGTTTTCAGGTGTCAGCCCTGCTGCAGGCAACATCTTTCTCCTACATTTTATCAAAGCAGGGAGTCCTTTCTGGAGCATCCCTTTCCCACTGACTCCTGCTGTTAATTAGCAGTTAATTAATTGCTCTCCATGCCTCACTCAGCAGCACCTCCTGGCCCCACCACTTGGATAGGAACTTACACGCTCAAATGACAGAAAAAATTGGGATTTGCTGCAATTGTTTCCCACATGGATCCCTTGTGGATGAACTCTGCGACTTGCAGAACCAGAAACAATTTAATTTCCTTGCTCAGAGCGAGCAGGAGCACCACGTTTAATTGCCAATTAATGGAAATACAGCCAGCCCTGGATAAGGAGCCAGCAAACAGGAGAGTGGGACAGTGATGGTGTCTGGGACCGACCCCGTGTGAGCACAGCCTTCACTCCTTGGCCCCCAGGCACTGCTGCTCCCAGGACAGGGGCTGGGCTCCCCCCTGCTCCCAGAGGAACTGCACCACTGGATTCACACTTGTCCTTCAGCCAGCGGAGCCTGCACCTCATCCCTTTGGAATTTCAAGCTGAGACACCTGTGGAACAGCTGTGTTTGCTGCTGGAGCCAAGAACTGGCCCCATCACCTGCCTGGCACCTGCCTGGGGCAGATTTGGGGAGCTCAGAGACCTCCCTGGTATCAGATCTGGAGAAACAGGCACGAGAGAACTGATTCATTCCATGGCACGACCCTGATGAGCACCTGGGGCTGCCCTGCTCTGTCCTGGGCAGGGATGTGTCACCACCACCACCAGGATCTGCCGTGTCCAGCACGGCCACCACCCTGCAGTGGCCAGCTGAGTGACCAGCTCCATTCACCCCCCGATTCCTCCTCCAGTACACAGCAATTCCCACTTTTCTGGTTTAAATCTGTCTGATCTGCTGGATAAACTGCTGCAGGCTTCTCCAGGCCCCCACGCTGACCTGGTGAGGCTCAGCTCCTTTCCATGACACCATAAAAATTCCCAGATGAATGTCCCCAGCCCCTGGAGCATCCCAGGGAGGCACTGGGTGCCCACGGCTCTGAAGCTCCCAGGAGCCATCTAAGGACACCCTCACAGCTGGCTGCAGCTGTAAGGCAACAGCCACATTCAAAAATAACCTTGGTGGAATCTTCAATCAATTTACAAGCTGGCAGCAGCTCAGGACTCTGGTTCTAATTAATCCCGACCTCCTTTAATTGAGGAGCTGACTGCTGTGAGATGTTTGTGCTTCATCTCTTCCATCTCTGCTCCAAATCCATCTGATTATGGTTTGAACATTTAAACCCTGCTGGGGTTATTGGCACTTTTGTGTCCAGTGAGGACATGACCACTCACAGAGCCAGCCTGGTTCTGCTGGTACAGGAGCACCTCGTGCCCGAGGAGGGAGAGGCTCCTGTGCTCCTCACAAAAACATGGATCGCTCCAGCCTGAGCCCATCTTGTGCAGAAAAGATCCCCTAAAGCACAGGAAAGGGCTGGAGTTACATTTATGTCTTTCTGGGAGCCTTTGCCTGTGCATTTACACATCTGGGATTTCCTGCCATGTGAAAGTTTTGTTCCCCTTCATGCTTTGGCTGGAAACGTTTGTATTTCCAAGAGGCGTTTCCTGCCCTGGGCTGCAGCCAGAGCATTTATGTCATTTTTGATCCAGGATTTTACCATTTATTTGTGTGCTTCCTACACATCTCAGTGGTTATTCTGGTCCAGCCTTGGCTCCACAGCTCTCATCACCAAGCCTGGCACGGAAATTTTCCCCTGACCAAAACAAACGGAACCGCACGTCGTGTCTTGAGCAGGGCTGACTCATCATTTCCTAAATGCCCCACGGCCCTGCAAATGCTCCAAAAAAGGAGCAGATTCATGGCTGAAAACATCCTGATGGCCAACAGTGGCAGTGCCCAAATCCCAGTTAACCACAGCCAACGCTCTGCCTGCTCTGGAATTGGTGTTGGGAGGAGCACGCTGGGCACAGGATGAACACAAAGGGCTGGGAGGCTGGAATGGCTGTCCGGGCTGCAGAGGGGACCCCAGGGATGTGTGGAGCAGCCATGCATCCAGCTCCTCCACCCCAGGCACCAGCTACTGCTGCCCCCCTGCCCCATCTCTCAGCCCTCCCTTTGGCCAGCAAACCTCCTGGAGGTCCAACAATACCTTCTGGGCAGCCAAAGAGCTTTTCTTTTGCATAGACACATTAAAGAGATAAAGCTGGGAAGTGACTGACACCATTGACATCTAATCCCTCATTATACTGCTTTTCTGAAAGTGCTGTTAACCCTTGCAGTGCCCAGATTTCTGTCTCCCAGGGAACAGCCTGGTGCTTGGGATCTATCTCTGTGAGTGGAAGAGGGAGAAGAAGCCAAGTGAGTGCCTGTGGTGTGGCCAAGCACTGTGGCTGCAGCTGGGGCAGGTAAGTGACAAACAGGTCGACATGGGGCTGGCTCCCTGGAGCACCTGCTCAGACACACCTGAAGATGCTCCTTTATTCCATCTTCTGGTGCTGGGCCCAGCTTGTGTCACAAGTCTTGTGTTCTGGGATTTTACCAGCTTCCTGAGAGCTCCATCACTGGGTATTCCCCTGTGCCTTCCTTTTCCTGAATGCCCTGTTGCCTCTGGACGGGGTCCCTTGACCCCACGGGGTTCCTCGGGTGTCCCTCGGGTGTCCCTGTGCTGGGTGACACTGCTGACCCCAACAATCCCATCCCAGCTCACATCCGTGCCAGCAAAACCCTGCTTGGCCCCTTGAGGGACGGATGCTCTGGACATTTACAGACAGTTACAACATTCCCACTTACTCATCCATCAGCCAAGTCAGCCTCACACAAGCCACGTCTGAACCTCTCTCTCCATCTCCCCCAGAGCTCCCGCCCCGTTCTCCAGCCTGGCTCTGCCTGCCGCTCACCCGGCTCGGAGCTGTCGCACTCCTGGGGGTTGCACTTCTGGGTGCTCTCCGGCCACGGCTCGTGGTCACACAGGCTGCTGTCCTCCTCGGCCACCCCTGTCCTGGTGTCCATGCACTTCACCTGGCGCCGCTGGATGCCCCCTCCGCAGGGAGCCGAGCACTGCGGGGACGCGGGGCTCAGCCTGGGGACAGCCCCAGGGCCACGCCGGGCGCAGGGCGGGGGTCCCCGTGCCCTGCGGTCCCCGCGGAGGGGAGCAGCCCCGCTCACCTGTCCCCAGGAGCCCACCACCCAGGTGGTGCAGGGCTGGCTGTTGCAGGGCCGGGTGCTGTTGGGCCTCACGCTCTCCTCGCAGCGCCCCGGCTCGGGGCACGTCACCAGGCGGGCCTGCTCCCCGCCGCCACACGGCTCCGAGCACTGCGGGGCAAACAGGGCGCTGAGGGCTCGGCCCTGCACACAGCTGGGCCGCCAGGAGCCTCCAGGGACAGCTCAGAGCCTGCCAGGGCGAGAGGGGCTCCGGGAGAGACGGAGAGGAACCGGGGACAAGGGATGGAGGGACAGGGCACAGGGAACGGCTGCCACTGCCAGAGGGCAGGGATGGATGGGATACTGGGCAGGAATTGTTCCCTGGGAGGGTGGTGAGGAAGTGGTATGGAATTCCCAGCTGGGGCTGCCCCTGGATCCCTGGCAGTGTCCCAGGCCAGGGCTGGAGCACCTGGGGCAGCAGCGGGTGTCCCTGCCCCGGCAGGGGTGGGCTGAGCGGTGCCCAGGCCGGCCTACCTCTCTCCAGGAGGACGTGTACCAGTCCAGGCACGGGGCACTGTGGCACGGCAGCTGCGCCGGGGGCTGCGCCAGCCCGGCCTGGCAGTGGAAGGGCCGCAGCAGCCGCTGGTCCCTGGTGTCAATGCAGTGAACGTCCCGCACCTTCGTGCCCCCGCCGCAGCTCCTGGAGCACTGGGGAGGGACACGGAGCCATGGTGGGGAGGGACAGGAGGGACACACAGCCACGGTGGGGAGGGACACACAGCCATGGTGGGGAGGGACACGGAGCCACGGTGGGGAGGGACACACAGCCACGGTGGACAGGGACACAGAGCCACGGTGGGGCGGGACACAGAGCCATGGTGGGGAGGGACACACAGCCACGGTGGGGAGGGACAAAGCCACGGTGGGGAGGGACACACAGCCACGGTGGGGAGGGACACACAGCCACGATATGGGGAAGGACACAGCAGCAACTTGGGTTGGGGTTGAGTTGACACTTGACCTCCTTCCCCCCCTTGCTCTAGGCCAAGCCAGAGCACAGCCTGTGCCCCCATCTGTCACTAGCACCCCTCTGAAACCAGCTGGCTCCCAGCTGGAAAATGAACAGTCTTTATGCCTCCAAGAACTGATGATTCCAGGGAACAGCACCCACCCAGAGCAAGGAGGGCTGCTCCCCACCACCAACCCTACCGAGTTCACCCAACCCAACTGCAAACAGCCCCTGGCAGGGCACAGTGGCCAGAACGTGTGACAAATCATAGAACCACAGAATGGCTTGCAATGGACCTTAAAGACCACCTTGTTCCACCTTGTTCCAAGGCCTGCCATGGGATGACAGCTGCTAGACCAGGCTGTCCAGCCCCACCCAACCTGGCCTTTCACCAAATCACTTGGTTTAGCTTTTACAAATTCCTGACTTTATTACCAGCCCAGGAAAAACGAAAACACTGTGGGATGAGCAGTTTAAACCCTGTGGCAAGCACAAACCTTTACCTACGTGACACACAGGGCAAGAGCCCTCCCTGAGAGCAGTGTGACCCCACACCTCGCCCCGCGGGTTTTGGGGACCCTCCCTCCCCACGGAGCCCGTACCTTGCTCCAGTTGCCCACACGCCAGGCCGAGCAGGGTCTCAGGGAGCACCTCCGGGCAGGGACGGGCCTGTCGGCCGCGGGACAGCCGCCGTCACTGCCGCTGCTGCAGCGCACCGGCCGCCACACCGCGCCCAGGCCGCACGTGGCCGAGCACTGCAACACAGGGAACACTGCTGGGTACCCCAGAAACACACAGTTCTACAGCACAGGGAACGCTGCTGGGTACCCCAAAAACACCCAGCTCTGCAGCACAGGGAATGCTGCTGGGTACCCCATACTGGCCCCTGGGACTCACCACGTACCTCACTCTTTCATGGGACTCACCACGTACCTCACTCCAGTTCCCGACCTCCCAGCTGGGCTTGGCAGTGGCTGCTGCGGGGAGCAACGGTGGGAACAGAGCCTCCTCCTCCTCCTCCTCCTCCTCCTCTTCCTCCTCCTCCTCCAGCCCCTTCTCCCAGAGCGGGGGGGACAAAGGCGTGGGCTGGGACAGCCCCTGCCCCCCGTCACTGGAGGCAGGGGTCCCTGGGGGTGCCCACGGTGAGGGGTCCCTCGTTGGTGTCCCTGGGGGTGCCCACAGTGAGGGGTCCCTCGTTGGTGTCCCTGGGGGGGCCCACGGTGAGGGGTCCCTCGGTGCAGGGACACTGAGCGGGGTCCCATGGGAGGTCAGCTTGGTGTGGGGTGATGCTGGACCCAGGTGCTGGGACACCCCCTGTGTCCCCCATGCCAGGGGGGACCCTGCTGTGTGGGCAGGTGGGCCATGAGCTGGGGCTGTGGGCATGGCTGTGCCCAGGGCATCCTGCTGGCCGAGGCCACTGGAGGTGACCTGGGGGGCTGGCCCGGGCATGGCAGGGGACAAGGACACTGGAGGGGCTGTTGTGGCCACCGGGGGGGTTGAGGTGGGGGCTGTGGGGGTGTGGAGCTCTGGCTGGTGCCCTCCCTGTCCCATGGGAGCCCCACCAGCACCCGCAGGAGGGGGACTCACGGCAGCCTGGGGGCTGCCAGCCCTCCCTGCCACCCCCCAGCCCGGGGCCTGCAGGGTGGGCAAGGCAAGATGTGCCCTCTCCATGCCATGGGATTGCCCTCCTGCCCGCGGGTCCAGCATCTCCTCTGGCATCCCTGCCCGGCCGTGCTGCTCGGTGGGCTGTGGGGCTGCACCATGGATGTCACTGGTGGTGGCCAGAGCCACTTGCCCGGAGTCCCTGTGGCCTCTCCCTGCAGACCAGGCTGGGCCGTGCCCCTGTGTGCTCACACGGCCCTCGCTGTCCCATCCTGCTGGCCCGAGGGACACGTCCACCCCGGCAGTGCCCCAGCCCACACCAGCGGGGTGGGGACCCCCGGGAGCAGGGACACCCTGCCCAAGGCTGCTCCTGCTGGGCACAGCTCCGTGGGGCTCACCCCAGGGCGGCTGGCCGTGGTTTGCAGAGCGGTGGCTCACGGAGCTCTGGGTGGCTGGGGGGTGCTCAGAGTGGGGCACAGGCACCGTACCCTCCTCCTCCTCCTCCTCCTCAGCCAAAAAGCCAGGGGTGGTGTAGCTGGGAGTGGCTGATCCCACATCCTCGGGGACCACGCTCAGGAGGTGGTTGGTGGCTAAATCCCCGGGCTCTGTGTGCTGCCCATCCACAGGAGCAGGAGTGAGTTCCTCCTCGGGGGCTGGCTGCTCCTGGCTCTCTGCTCCCAGCTCGGTGGTGAGCTCAGTGGGCATCTCCCAGGGCCCCTCCGTGCCAGCAGTGCTCAGCTCTGGCTGTGGCTCCTTCTCTGTGAAGGGATAGTAGGACAGGTCCTCGTGGAAGTTGATGAAGTTGTAATCGTAGTAAAAATCATCGACAAAGACATTTCCTTTTCTGGCTGAGAAGTCCTCCTCGGTGATGACATTGACGTCGTTGGACTCGGGGACGTTCGGGATCAAGGGGTTAAGTTTAGGAATGTGGTTGCTGGGGATGTAAGGGATTTCATTGAGTATCTCCCTGCTGGAGGAGCCGCTGCCAGACCAGTCGCTGTCCCATTTCTGGTGGCACTGTGGCAAGGAGCAAGCCCTCTCGGGGCTGGGTCTCTCGGCAGGGTCGCACGGGGCCCCGCTGCTGCCGCTGCTGCAGTGGACTGGGCGCCTCTGGGTCCCGTTCCCACAGCTCACCGAGCACTGCCAGGGGAAGAGAGAGGGACAGGTCTGTGGGGCAAGGCCAGGAGTGGTGCCAGTGCTCCCTCTGTGAGGGCTCCACGTCACTCTGCCAGCTCCCACCACCCGCCCGGACAGCTGCTGTGCCAGTCCCACCCTGCTCACCCTGGCATGCACAGCACTGCTGCCCAAATCCCCTCTGGGGCTGCCCCCGTTGGAGACCGTGCCAGAGCAGAGCTGGAGCTGTGGGGACTTTGCTCAGGGTGATCCTTGCCCTGCTTTCCAGCCAGAAACAGCTTTCCCGGGAGATGGAGGCTGGGAAGGGCAGGGGTGAGATGAGCTAATAGGCTTTTCCTGTGACCTATTGCCATGAATTGCAGCTCTTCTTCTAGAAGAGCCTTCTTTGAAGCAGGGAATAACAACATGGGTGTTGTCTGAGTAGGGAAAAAGCAAAGGTCAGGAAGGAGCTTTGCTGGGGACACACCATTCCCCATAATGGGCTCTTTGAGATGGGTCAGTACAAAAGAAACTGAGAAGCTGGAAAGGAGAACAGCAGCATTTTCTGCTGCATTTGGGGCTGGGAGCAACCCAGGCTTGTGAAAGGTGTCCCTGCCCATGGCAGGGGGTGGAACCAGATGAGCTTTAAGGTCCCTTCCACCCCAGAGCATTCCAGGATTCCCAGGTGGCCACCAGCAGGCATTTCCAGGAGCTGGAATCAAACATCACCACACACCTGTGAGAGGGCTGCAAGGAGCTGCTCCCTGAAGAACAACAAAGCAGTCCTCTGACTGCATTAGCCCCTTTGGAAACTGCACAGAGCTGCATGTGCAGTGCTTCGGGCTCCTCTGAGGCACTGAGCCCCAGGGTGTGTGCCACCCAAACCCCAGAGAGCCCCGTGGCAGGGCCAGGTGCCCCAGTGCCACACGGGGACACTGCTCCTGCCTGGTCCTGCAGACCACGCTGCCCCAGCCTGCTGCTACTGCTGACAGAAGGACCACGGCTCTGGGAAGCTCCCAAGCCCCTCCAACCCCCCTAATTATGGTGGAAATGGAAAAGAAAGAGGGCTCTCCCTTTAAATTAAAGGACAGAAAAATTTCAGGTCCTCAAAATCCCAAACACGTTTTCTCCAGGGCTCACAAACCCACTGGTGCCAACACCACAGAGGCCAGCTGTGAGGGCTGGGGCTGCCCTGCCCAGCACTGACCCACCTACAAGCTGTAATTTTCCCTTTAAATCGTTGCATCCATCTTTCCCAGCCCTTAATTGTGGCTTTTGGGGGCCCCTAGAAAAATATTTCCAACTCGCTCTCATCTAGCCTTCAAATCCTCTGTTCACATTTGATTCCATTTGTTCCTTAGCAACAAGCTCTGTTCCCAGGCTCTCTCCTTTCTCTCCTGATATTTGTCTTCACTCTGAACACTTTTGGCACGGCTGTTTAAATTAGGAGTTATCATTTTCTGGTTGAAACCCTCAGCCTGTGGTTAAGCTGATTCACAAAAACACAAAAATATATCAAGGCTACATAGAGTGCCACCATTAATCACTCCAGGGAATCATTTGGCTTGGAAGGGACCTTGAAGATCATCCTTGCTGTGGGCAGGTGGTGGCTCCAGCTCCACTGCACCAGGCTGTTCCAAGCCATGTCCAGCTGAAAACTCCATTTCTGCCCTCCTTGTGCCAAGCACAGAGAGTGGCCCTGACCATGTGTGAGGGAGCTGCAAAGCCCAGGGCTGGGGCAGAGTTCAACTGCACAGTGCCCCCTCCTCACCCTGAGACCCCTCCAGGCAATGGAATTCCCATCCATGGGGGCTGGGACAGAGTTAAACTGCCCAGTGCTCCTTCCTCACCCTGAGACCCCTCCAAGCAATGGAATTCCCATCCATTGGCCCCACAGGGACACAGCCATGGATTCCTGTGAGCAGGAGCACAGCCATCGCCCTGGGGCAGGCTGAGGTGTCCGGGGACCCCTGTCCCCAGCTCCCACCCCTTTGCAAGACACGGGACACCCCCAAAGTCCCCTCTCACCTCGGACCAGTTGCCCACAGCCCACGGGGAGGGACAGGGGACCTCGGGGTGGCAGGGCGCGGTGGCATCCGGCTTGGCCAGGTGCTGGCAGTCTGCTGGCTGCAGGGCCCTCTGCTCGTCCAGCCCCACGCTCTGGATGCACAGCACCGTCCTCTTCATCAGCCCTGCCCGGCCACACGTGGCTGAGCACTTCTGCCACTCACCCACCCACCACCTGCGGGGGAAAGGGGAAAGAAAGGGGAAAGAAAGGGGAAAGAAAGGGGGGAGAAAAGAAAGGGGAAAGAAAGGGGAAAGAAAGGGGAAAGAAAGGGGAAAGAAAGGGGAAAGAAAGGGGAAAGAAAGGGGAAAGAAAGGGGAAGGAAAGGGGAAGGAAAGGGGGAAGAAGGGAAAGAAAGGGGAAGAGTGAAAAGGGGAAGAGTGAAAAGGAGAAATGGGGAAAAGGGGAAATGGGGAAAAGGGGAAAAGGAAAGTGGAAAGGGGAAATGAAAAGGGGAAAGGGAGAAAGGGGAAAAGGGGAAGAGGGATATAGAAAAGGGGAAAGGGAAAGATCTCAGCCAGAGCAAGCAGCCGTGCCCCAGGACCCATCCCACTGCCCATCACGTGAGGCCATGGGGAAAGGAGGATCCCAAATGTGTCAGCCCAAGGTCTGGGAGCTCGGACAGAGGGTCAGGGATGGGACAGCCCCCGAGCTGTGCCAGGGTTGTGTGCACAGAGGCAGAGAGGAGCATCCTGCCAGGATGGGACCGCCTGTGAGGCTCTGCCCGTGGACAGGCAATGCCTGTCAGGTCAGACAAGCCCAGGGACGCTGCCATGGACCCACCCGGGGCCGGGGACCCATCCCCAGGGCGAGGGAGGGGGAGCAGGCGGGTGGCACCTGGCCGGGCAGGGCTCCTCGCTGCAGGGGCGCTGCTGGTCGTCGGGGCGCGTGAGCGCGTCGCAGAACCGCTCCTCCACCAGGCCCGCCAGCCTCTCCACGCAGTGCACGACCTGCCGCTGCACCCCTGCGGGTGGGTGGGCGCTGAGGGCACCCCCAGGCACCCCCAGGCACCCCGGCACCACACAATTGCCAGCACGGCTTTGGAAACCCAACCCGACCACCCAGCAGGGCACAGGAGGCTCTCGGTGAGCCAGGAGAGTGGGGAGAAAACGAAAGCACCATTTGAAGCTGCACGTTCATTGGTGCTGAGGCTGAGATGCCCTGGCAGAGCCCCTGGCACCAGGGCAGGGTGGCAGCTGGAGCCGTGCATGGCAGCACTGCCCGGAGCCGTGCATGGCAGCACTGCCCGGAGCACACCCAGCCACCGAGTGCACTGCGAGTTCTGGGGCTGCCAAGGGGCAGAACCTGGCTCTTGTGGCAGCCCTGCCCCAGCCCAGCTCAGGACAAAGCACTGCCCAAAGCCTCGTGTCCCCAGTCTGCTCCCAGGGGATTTTATGTGACCTCACCACACTGCCTCGCTCCGGCTTCTGTCCCCGTTCTGTAACACGTACTTGACCTGTGACATGGAGAGCTGTCACCAAAGCTCAGCTGAGACTGACAGAACCCTGCTGAACTGCTGAGCCGGGCTCTGCCTCAAGCACCTGGGAGCTTACAGGGCCTTGGGACTCAGCAGAGGCTCACTGTGAGCTCTCCCAAACCCACATCTCATCTCACATCATCACTCAGTGCAGCAAGAGGGGCTCAGCCCTCCTCCAGCTGCTCACCCTCACCCGACTCCTGCCTGATTCACTCCTCTACTTCCCTTCTGTTCTGGAAGCCAAGCACTCGAATCATACAAAGAAAAGCTGGTTTTAAACAAAGCCCATGTCCTGGCACTCTGTGCTACCTAGAAAGCACAAGTGTCCTTGAATTCCCCTTTTTTCCAGTGCCAGCTGCTCTCGAGGAAGTGCTTGCTGCTCCCAGTCTCTCCTGGCAGACTTCCAGAAATGTTCCTCTGCACCAGCTGCCCCAAAAGCTGCCCTGGGGACCCTGGGACACCCGGCCAGTGGTGCAGGGGGGCAGGATGGGGGAAGCAAACATCCACACACGGACACTGTGGGACCCCAGCTCTCTGTAAAACCCTGGATATCCTCCCCCCGAGGAGAGGCCCAGGCAGGCAGGAGACCAGCCCTTCCACCCTCCCTGATTTCTCTAAAGCTCTTTTGTCTCCATCCCGCGCCGGGTAACAGGACACCGAGGCGGGAGCTGATAAAGCCCTGGGGTTCCTGCTGAGCACCACGGGCGTGACCTCAGCAGATGTCCCTTTCTTCTGCCCCTAGGACCTCCTGAAACCCAAGACCCAGGAATTTCAACGGCTCCCCAGGGACGCTCCGCTGCTCAGAGCGGGTGTCCCGGGGCTGCACTCACCTGTCCCACAGGTGGCCGTGCAGGTGGTCCAGGAGCCAAAGCGCCACAGGAACTCGGGCTGCTCGATCTCGTTCTCGCTGTCGGCCGGGCGCTGGATCGTGTACTGGTACCTCACCCCGGGGTTGGTCTCCTGGAACAGCAGCTGGGGACACAGGGGACAGGGTGAACAGCAGCTGGGGGTCACAGGGGACAGGGTGAACAGCAGCTGGGGGACACAGGGGACAGGCACAGGGTGAACAGCAGCTGGGGACACAGGGGACAGGGTGAACAGCAGCTGGGGGTCACAGGGGACAGGGTGAACAGCAGCTGGGGGTCACAGGGGACAGGGTGAACAGCAGCTGGGGGTCACAGGGGACAGGGTGAACAGCAGCTGGGGGACACAGGGGACAGGCACAAGGTGAACAGCAGCTGGGGGTCACAGGGGACAGGGTGAATAGCAGCTGGGGGACACAGGAGACAGGGTGAACAGCAGCTGGGGGACACTGGGGACAGGGTGAACAGCAGCTGGGGGACACTGGGGACAGGGTGAACAGCAGCTGGGGGACACAGGGGACAGGGTGAATAGCAGCTGGGGACACAGGGGACAGGCAGGGGGTGGTCAGGCAGGGCAGTGGGGGTGGCACTGCACCAGGGGCTTCTCAGGGTGAAGGAGCTGCCCAGCAGGGCCAGAAGGACGTGACCCTGTGCCCAGCTCCCCAGCAGAGCTGGATGGGACCTGGAGTAACTCGGTTTGTGGAAGGTGTCCCTGCCCACGGGTGGAATTTCCTACACTGCCTCCCACTCCAGAGGGGCTCCTGCTGCTCCTGTGGTTGACACAAGGCTCCTGCGCTCGCGAGGGCCAGGAGTTCATCCCTGTTTTTCTTAGCCTAAGCACTCCCATTATTGCCAAAGCTTTGTTGTTCTTGGAGCTTTGGCGGGAGCCAGGGCGTCTTTCCAAAACCTCTCCACGAATATTGAAACGTTGTTGTCCACAGGTTTTAATTAGGCTATGAATCCCAGAAAGTGATTTGTGGGTGCTGAGCACACCAGCATTCCCATTAACAGTGCCAGCATTCCCATTAACAGCAGCCCTTGGCAGCAGCGGGCCCAGGATCCCGCTCACATCCCACCCCGAGCTGCTGCTGAAGGAAAGGCAGAAGGAGATTGTGGCTGCTCGGGGTGGCTGAGCTCTGAGTGAGCCCGTGCAAAGGAGGGGATGTTCTGCTGGCTGGGCCATGACTGCCAGGGCAGGGGGATCCTGGGGGTCCATGGGATGCAGCTCCGTGGCCACCACCACCTCGGCACCACAGCTGGCACCACGAGGGATGTCAGCCTGGTGCCAGCTGTGCCATCTCATGTGGGATGATTCCCACTGGTTTCCAGAGGAAGGCTTGGCCTCATGGTCACAAGGACATTGGCTCCAGCAGCTCTGCATGAGCTGGCAGCTCCCTCACTCCTGACTGTCCAGCCCAGCCAGAAGCATCGGGGGCTCTTTCCCTGCTGGTGATAAGATAGGGGAAAGGCCTCAGGAAACGGCTCTTTCTCCTCACACCCCTCTCCTGGGTAAATATTCTGCAGAATGCTGCAAAGGGGATCAGGCTCAGCTGCAAGTGGTGTGGGCAGGAAACACCCCCAGGCTGGCAGCGTGTGCTTGGCTGCCCCAGCGTTGGCTCCCACAGAAACACAGCCCGAGGAGGGGCAGAGCCCGTGCCCTGGATGCAGGGATGGCCTTGAGGGGCCACGGCAGCTCAGCCCCACAAGGAGGGCAGGATCCATCCTACCTGGATCCACACGGGCTCCACGGTGGGCCCCGGAGAGGTGAGGTTCTCCCAGTTCCCTGTCCTCTTGTAGGTGAAGGTGGTCCCTGCCACCCTGTAGTCCCCGTTCCACTGGATGGTCCAGCCACCATTCAGGAAATATTTCTCCGGGTCCTCGCTCCGCAGCGCCAGGAAATTCCCGGCTTCTGCCACCTCTTCAATCCGGATCTCCCGGGCTCCCACGGGGATAATCCCAATGTCCACATAACCTGGGAATGGAACCAAGAGTTGGTCTTGGGGGAGTCAGAGGTGTGTGAGATGATTTTTGTCCTTGGGCGGGTGCCGTGTCCCCTGGGTGCCAGCACTGTGCCAATCCTTACACCTCTGTAAGGCACCAGTGGGCACCAAGCCCTGCCCTGAGCCCACCTGAGTTCCCTGCTGCCTTATCCCCAAAAAATCGACAAGTCGGAATTAAACTGCCCTTCCAAAGGAGCAGCAGCAGCCCAGCTGTGCTGGAGCAGCACGGGGTGCTCAGGGGACAGCAGGAGGTGCCCTTACCCAGCCCCTCGCTGTCCTCGAAGGTCTTGTGGACGGTGTGGCAGGTGGAGCCGTCCCCGTGGCAGACCCCGCAGCGATCCTCCACGGCGTGAGAGTCGATCTCATAGTCACAGCCCACGCTCTGCAAGGCAGCCCCGTCAGCCCCACACCAGCACCTCCCAGTCCCTGCCAGCACCGACTGCATGGTCCCCAAGGGATTCACAGCATCCTGGGATGGCCTGGGGTGGAAGGGACCTTAAAGACAATCCAGTTCCAGCCCCCTGCCATGGGCAGGGACACCTTCCCTGAGACCAGGGTGCTCCAAGGTTGCTCCAGGTTGCGTCCACCCTGGCCTGGGTGGTGCTCTGGCTCCTTGAGGCCAGCACAGAGGCTGGCACAGCCCGAGCCACTCACCCCACGGGACCCAGGAACGACTCCAAGTGGGGAGCGGCAAAGGGAGCGAGCTCAGCACGAGAGGGAGGGGATGCTGAGCGCCCAGCAGTGGGTGCTGCCCCTTGGTGCCCTCCAGGCCCGGGGTGTGCCCGGTGCAGCCCCACCTTGCAGATGCCGTTGATGCAGAGGTCGCGGCTGGCATCGCTGTCGTAGCAGGGCGTGCCGTCCACCACGGCGTCGCGCAGCTTCTCCGCAAAGTACTCGTGCTCGGGCCGGCAGTGCAGCTCGCAGGGGTTAACTGGGGAACAGGCACACACTCAGCCCCAGCACCGGTCTCTCCGAAAGCACAGATCAACCCTGCAAGCCCAGGGCAGTGTAAAATACAAAATACAGCACGAGCGGGCTGCAAGGCAAGGCTGGGACACACAGCGCCAGCTCCGACCGCGCCGGGGCCGTGCCCGAGCCGCTCCAGGTTTGAGGGCTCTGCCCTCCACTCACTGTTGTTGGGCACTGGTGTCCACTTGTAGAGCTTCCCTTTGTAGGGCATGGGGTTGAACTGGCTGCACTGGAGCTGGCGGAAGGAGGGCTTGTCCGGGGGGCAGCGCCGCACGTTGCAGATCCGGAACCGCTTGCGCTCGCCCAGGCAGTAGCGGCCCCCGTACTTGGGCCTGGGGAGGCAAAAACCAGTCACACAAGGGCTGGGAGGGCACAGAGCTCAGCCACTGAGCTCTGGAATGGTTTGGGTCCGAAGGGACCTCAAAATCCATCCGTGTTCCACCCCCTGCCACGGGCAGGGACACCTCCCACAGAGCAGGCTGCTCCAAGCCTCGTCCAGCCTGGTGCCCTCCCTGCAGCTGCTCTGGAGGAGCTGCTCTCCTTCCCACCCAGGGAGTCCTCCTGACTCTGCTCCTCTGCTGCCCCAGGGAATGGCAAAGCTGGCACTGGACTTTTTAAAGCAAGAGAGACTCGAGAAGCACAGCGGTGCTTTTCTCAGATGCCAGCAGACCCCCACGACACAGCCACCATCTCCCGCCACGCTGCCTTGTCCTACGGTCACACCACTGTCCATGGCCCATGTCCCAGTGACCTCACGAGAATTCCTTCTCCTGGGCACACTCTGCTGAAGAGAATGAAGCTAGTGATTGTTTTAGGGCTGTGTTTACACGCCCTGCCCTGAGGAATGGCTGTGGGAGGGGGGGATGCCCAGCACACATTTTCTCACTTCATCCCAAGGGCAAAGCTGAAGATTTACCTCCAGTGGCCAAAGCAAACAACTGCCCGGGAAATTCCCAGTGTTTGCTCTCCTGCCTGAGCACAGCTGTGTTTGGAACACTCCACAAACCACCACAGCACCTCTGCCACAGCGTTTATGTCAAACACAAATCCAGGTCCTGGCCCAGGACTGAGATGACAGAGCACTTCCCTCAAGAGCCCAGCAGCACGCACCAAACTCACCCGAGGAAGAGGATGGGCAGAACATGTCTGGAAAGGTCAGGAGCTCACTCCTGGGGCTGCCAGAGCTCCCCATGCCATGGAAAAGTGAATTCCCATGGAACATCACTACAAAGCCCTTTTCCTCCCCATCCCAGGCTGCTCTGACACCAGGGCAAGCCAGGGGTTTTGGCTGAATCCAGTGCAACAGGGATTTGGTGACCAAAGGGACATCTGGGGAGCAGATGGGTCAGCAGAAATCCCAGGATGGAGACAGCAGCTCCTCCAGCAGCGCCCGGACACTTCCAGCCAGCACTGGCTGATGGAATGCACAGGGTGATAAACTGCAGCAGGATTTTTCAAAACAACTCTGAATCAGGCTGCAGGAATGCCTGGTTTGCTGCGCTGTCACTAAAGGACACTGGGTATGTTTTACATCTCTGAGCGTGGAGCCTCTGCCCTCTGTGTGAGTCACAGTGCAGCACGCCAGGGCAGGGCACGGAAGCAGTCCCCCCAGCCCCGTCCAGCCCAGCGCTCCGGGACTCCTGACCGGCCTCCCGGGGGTCTGGCTTACGTGGGCTGGCTGCAGTGCCTCTCAGCACTCTGCACTCCTGCTCCACAGCTGCGGGAGCAGGAGGCCCAGGAGCTCCAGGAGCTCCAGCCGCCGTCGATGGGCTCGGGCCGGAATCCCACGGGGACGCACTCGCCGTTGAAGCACCACTGCGGGGACAGGGGGAGAACACCGGGTCAGGCCGGGAGCACTGGGGCCCAGCACACCGATTGTCCCGTGGAAACCCCTGCTGTGCTTGCTTGGAGGTGCCTGGGGTCAGCTGGGCTCTGCCAGAGCCTGGAGCTGCTCAGGCCATGGGAAACTCAGAGGTGTTGGCTTCTTTGAGGATTTGAGGGAGGCAGCAAACCCAAAGCTCCATGGAGACCCCTCATCAAGGGGATTCGCAGCCCAGTGTCAGCCCAGAGGGGCTCAGAGGTGCCTCCCCAGCAGTGGGAAAGATCCCAGGGAGGAGGATCCACCATGGCAGCAGAACGAGCCTTGTGCTGTCCTGCCATGGCCATTAACGGTGGGTTTCACCTTCCCAGGTGATTCAGGTGATCCCAAGCGAGTTACCTTCCCTGAGGGCACTCCCTGCTGGGGGCAGTGGGATGACCCAGCCCTGCACTGACCCTGCCCAGCCCTGTGTGTGCAGGAGCAGGCTCCCCGAGGCCATGGAGGGGTGTCCCCTGTTACCTTGCTCTCCCCGCAGGCCGTGCCATCCACAGCTGCGTCCAGCTTGGAGTGACACGTGTTCCCCACCGTGCACCACAGCGTGCTGCAGACACTCTGTGGGAAGAGAGGGACACGTTCCTGCCTGGCACAGAGCCCTCCCTGGGGCACAGATCAGATAAAACCTTTGGGGACAGATCCCATCCCTCAGGCACAGATCAGATCCATCCCTCAGGCACAGATCAGATCCATCCCTCGGGCACAGATCCATCCCTCGGGCACAGATCCGATCCCTTGGGCACAGATCAGATCCATCCCTCGGGCACAGATCCATCCCTCAGGCACAGATCCGATCCCTCGGGCACAGATCCATCCCTTGGGCACAGATCCATCCCTCGGGCACAGATCAGATCCATCCCTCGGGCACAAATCAGATCCATCCCTTGGGCACAGATCCATCCCTCGGGCACAGATCCATCCCTCAGGCACATATCAGGTCCATCCCTCGGTCACAGGTCCACCCCTCAGGCACAGATCAGGTCCATGCCTCGGGCAGGGTGGGCACAGCCCCCCAAAGCCCCCCGGTGCCCCCCAGGCCCCCCTTACGTCCATGTCGTCGCAGAAGGTGGAGTAGGGGCCGTACTGCAGCCGGCACTGGTGGCCCACGTCGTACAGGACGCCCGGGGGCACCAGGGGAAAGTCCAGCAGCTCCCGGGCCGGGCGGTCATCCAGGCACAGCCCCCAGCCCCGGCTGCAAGAGAGAGCCACAGCAGTGTCACCCAGTGTCCCACACCTCCAGCAGGGGACGGGGACAGGAGCTGGGGCACGTCCCAGGATGAGCAGCCAGCATTTCCCACTGGCTCTGCAGTCCCTGGAGCTGCTCCGGCGTGGACGGGCACCCCTGGGTACCTTCTGGGGGTGGGAGCCCCCCAGAGCCATCCCCCCATATCCCCCTGTCGTGGCAGCACATGGGCAAGGTGAAGGGACAAAGACAGAAGGGGAAACAACCATAAATGTGCCGGTGGACATTTATCTCAACAAGCAGTGTGGCCGCTGCTGACAGGAACAAAGGAGATGCCAGCAGCCAGACGTGCCCACCACCATGCCAGCACAGGACAGCTTTGGGGGGCACCGGAGGCGGGCAGTGCCGCCTCTGCTCCCGCTGCTTTCGCTGTGACACTTCCCAAACACGCGGTGTTATTTCAACAAACTCGTTTCCAGCAAAGCCGAGCCTCCGGCAGGGCGGCGGATCGGGTTACTCGGGCTTGCGGGGATCGGGAACGCCTCGCAATTCCCGTGCCATGAGATTCCTCCCTAAGCCAAAGCAGCAGCACGGAAACAGGGCTGGAAGCAGCAGAGCTGCTGCTTTGGGGTGCTGGCAGCGCACCCCAAAGTGATGCCCAGCAGGACCAGCGCCCCCTCCTCCCTTTCCCATCCCACCCACCGAGTTCCACACCTGCAAACAGCTCCCTTGGCTGGAGACAGCCCCTGAACTCCCATGCATGTCCCCACTGAAATACACTTCTATTTCCCTGTGGCAAGAACCAGGAAAGGGCTTGCTTTCAAAAATCTCCATTTCCAAGCCCCCAAGAGCAGCAGCACCGTGCTGCTCCCAGCCCAGTGGGAAGGGCAGGGTGCCATCCCTGTGGGTGCTGTGGGGCTCAGCTGGGATGGATGGGGCATGGGCTGGGCAGCTGGACACAGGGTCCTGCTGCAGCCTGTGTCAGGCACACCCTGCAGGGCACCTCCCCACGTATTTCCACAGAATCCCAGAACCTGGCATGGCTTGGGCTGGAAGGAGCCTTAAAGCTCATCCTATTCTGTACACTTGGAGTGTTTTCTCTAAAAACAGAAGGTGTCTTTACTGGAAAAAGTCCAGGCTGAAGCACTTCATCCTGGCTGAGCCCCAGGTGTGACACTCGTGCTGCTCTGACTCTTCACCCTGTGCCTGTTTGGGCCCCACAGGTGCCCCCTACACTGTCCCCAACTCCTGCTCCTGTGACCTGCTTGGGGCACTCCCTGCCCTGCCCCAGCTACAGAGGGGTCTCTGTCCAGTCTGGGGGTGACTGGCATCTGCCTCAGCTTTCCAGCTTTTCCAGAATCTATTGCTTTGTTAAATATTTTACAACCATTCTCGTGGTCTGTTCAGTTGGCCAAAACACATCTCCAAGCAGGGAAAAATTGGCCTGAGTTTCCCTCTGGCTTCCAGGGATCTGCAGTAAATCCCAGTCCAGAGGGAAAGATGCAGGGCCTGCACTGCTCTGCCTGTTCCAGCCCGCTCTTAACGAGCTGGAGGATGGCCTGGATGGAACAATGATTGAATCCCCATCTGTGAGCAGCCTGAGAGGATCTGCAGATACATTTGAGAGCAGGATTAAAATTCCAAAAGCTCCCAGAGAACTGGAGGAAGGGTCCAAGGAAGGCAGGACACAATTCAACAAAAACAAAGGCAAAGCTTGGAGCTCGGGAAGAATCAGCTGCACAGCCACGGCGGTGGGGCTGGCAGAGGGGGCACGGGCAGGGCAAGGGCAGCAGGCCCCAGGTGCTGCCAAGAGGAGGATGGTGGAGGAAGAGCTCCAGCACAGAGGAAAAAGGCTGAAAATCTGGCTGTCTGATGCAGAGCAAAGACTGAAGGGTGCCTTCACCACCAGAGCATCAGCAGCCAGCACCCTACGCTGGCCTGAGCGAGGGGACACCTTCCTTGGGGACAGGCTGTCCCAGCAGGGACAGGACCTGTCCCAGTGTCCCCTCATGTCCAGGCAGAGCCTGAGTGAAGCCCCAGCTGCAGCAGCACTGACTGCAGTGCTGCTGCCGGGAATCACTCTCAGATGCTCCACCATTCAGCAGTGCTTGTGGAACAGCAACGACCTCGTGTAAAACAATAATCATCACCATCCAAGAGTGCGGTTTTCCCGAACGTGAGCTCTGTTCCAAGCACACCCAGCAACCCCAGGCCGGCAGGGTCGGGTTTCCTGGCTCCTTCCCTCCCGTTCTCCTGCCAGCATCCCGTTACAACACGCTCCTGTCTGTGCTGGCCCCGTGCTGGCCCTGGCCCCGGGTGTCACAGCCGGTGACAGACGCCTGCCGGGCGCTCTCCCGAGGAAGAGCTGCTCCTTCTGGAGGAGCAAAGGGTCCCAAACCCCAGCAGAGGAGCTTCCAGCTGCTCTGTCTCCCCATGGCAGCTCGCAGCAGCCCGGGGTCAGCACAGGCAGGAAATTCTTCCTCCCCAAGTGAAGGTTAAAAGCAGAGGGCCGAGAGCGCTGCGGATGCGGGCAAGCTCCATTCCTCAGAAAGCCATAAATCAGCAGAAATTCCCCTGCACGGGGCCAGTCCACATGGCCCAGGCTGGGATCTGGGAGCCTGGCCCCAGCAGCCTCCCCTGGCCCTGCTCTCACTGCTCCTCCTGCTTCCAAACCCTCCTGCAGCAAGGGGGAAATGTTCCTCCAGTGCAAGCCACTGGCTGACAAACCAAACTCAGGGCTGGGCTCCTTGGAACTTCCTAACAACAGGCTGAAAAATCAGCCACGGGTGCTAAAAATAAACAAAGGCAGGGAAGAATTTGGCTGGATCTGGTTTGCCCATGACAGGCAGAGGGAACAGAAGAGATTCTGCAGGGAATCTCCTGCAGGGAGCACTGAGGGAAAACACTCTGGTTCTATCTGTGCAACCACAGCCCCTGTGCCCCCCCAAAAGCTCCTGATCCCCCTTCACAGCACAGGGAGGATCCGTGGAATCGTGGAATGGTTTGGTGGGAAGGGACCTCAAAGCCCATCTCATCCCACCCCTGCCGTGGGCAGGGACACCTCCCACTACCCCAGGCTGCTCCAGGCCTTGGCCTCGGACACTCCCAGGGATGGGGCAGCCACAGCTGCTCTGGGCAAAGACCCCCAACACTCTCCAAGAGACATCTCAGAGATGAGAGCACCCCCATGCCTGGGCCCCGACCCCCAGCCCCATCAGTGAGGAGGAAGAGGAGGCAGCACTCACTCGAGGAAGCGTGTGATGTACTCGCGGCTGCAGCGGGACCAGGTGAGTGGGGACGTGTCATACAGGAGCTGTGGAGACATGATGAAAGGTCTTTTCCCAACTGGCTCACAGTCATTGCTGCTTCCATCATGCTGAATCCCAAAACTGTGTAAGACACAGCCCACGGAGGGGAGGTGAGCCACGGCCCCCACAGCCAGCACCGCCACCGCTCCCGGCCCCGCTCGGAGCAGGACCTGCCCCGGGGACGTGTGCTGACAGCCCTGAGCTCTGTCCCGTGCTTTCACTGCAGCTCTCCCACTGAAAACTCAGGAATATTCAACAGGATCTCGCTGGTGGGTGCTTTCCCACACAGGGATGTCTATTGGGAACTGCAGCGTTCAAGCGACCCCGTCAAAGTTTAACTGAAACTGGGGCAAGCAAAACTCTGTCGCTGATATTACAGACAGATCCTGCTTTAAAACCTCTCAGTGGGCAAGCCCTGCTCCAAAACCCTCCCACACCACCCCAGGACAATACACAGGTGCAATTTCTCCAGGCTGCCTTGGACTGTGTGTTCTCATTAAACCTGGGACAACCCGAAACTTAACTCGGGAATGAAACCCTCAGGGAGCAAGGGAGTGTTTGCACCCGTGAGGAACCACCTGGGAACCATCTCCCAACTTCCCCCCGTGCTTCCTCCAGCCCCAGGGCGCACACAGAGAACAGGAGGAGGAGGAGGAGGAGGAGGGTGTACCTGTGTCCCAGCTCGTGGGCCACGGTGAAGGCGAGGGGCAGCCCCGTGTCCTCGTTGATGTTGCAGCTCCGGTGGGGCTGGCACATCCCGGCCACGTGCGACAGCCCCAGGGTCTCACACGGCCTGTTCATGGCAGCACAGATGTCCTTCCTTGGCCGAGGGGACGAGGACACACGGACAGACAGACAGACACAGAGCAGAGAGGGCGTTGGAAGGCGGCAGGACCCGGCACACGGACAGCGGCCAAACGGGAGTGAGGGCAGAGACATCCAACATCCTTCCACAGGGGAAGCTTTTATGACCTCTCCTTTCCCCTCTCCTCTCCCAGTATCCCCAGCTCACAATTAAGCCTGATTAATGGGAGCTGCTGGCCAGCCTGGCTGCGTTTATTCCCTTGTATAAATAAAGCTGATGCTGGGGATAATCAAACAATGTTTTGGGGAAGCACATCCCAGAGGTGCTGTGGTTTTCCAGAGCAGCTCCAGCCACCCAGGAAGAACAGCTCCACGGAAGTACAAGGCCTGAAGTGCCTCATTTCTGCTACAAAGCAACCTCCCAGGGAAGATAAAGCTGCTGTGGGCTGTGAATCACCACCCAAACCACCACAACAGCCAGCTCACGGCAGCCTGACAGCCTCAAACCAGCCTTTGACTGCAAGGTACACAAACTTGGCCAGAGGCAGGAGTTCCTGCCAGCTCCCTGGGAGGTCAGGGGCTTCCCAGAGGCTCCTCTGCCAAGCCCAGCCTCTGAGGGAAAAAGGAGAGTTAATCCTGTGTACAGCTCCTGGCTCCAGCCCTTCTGGGGCTTGGCAACAGGGCCACGGTGAAAACCTGCTTTGGAAACCTCAGCTGGGAGCTGTGTCCAGGTTTAAACCTGAGATTTGGACCAGTCCACAGAATCACAGACCCCTGGAATGCTTTGGGTCGGAAGGGATCCTAAAGATCATCTAATTCCAGCCCCCTGCCACGGGTAGGGACACCTTCCACAGCAGTTCCAGCCACCAGGAAACATCCCCAGATTTCACATTACAGATCTCACACGCAGGTATCCAAGCAGTGAGATTTCAAGAGCTGCCAGGAGACGTTCCCTGGCTGTCCCCACCTGCACCAGGTGAGTTTTGGGCTGCCACAGCCCCAGAGCTGTGTGAGGGCTCCACACCTGGTGAGCAGCACGGCCACGTCGTGGTGCAGGGGGTGGGAGTCTCCCTTCACGTTGATGCTCTTCTGCCACTTGCAGAAGCTTTTCAAGGTGTTGTCTGCGTGGTGGGAGATCTTCAGGTCCTCCTGCCAACATGAAGGGAGATTTGCTGGAGCTGTTTGGATTTTGGGATGGGGAGGGGAGAGGGCTGAGCCCAGACACATGAGAGTGGGGTTGGGAGCGACTGCCATCCAGATGGAATTGCTCCATGTTTATAGCTTGTAGGCTGGGTGGGAAGACAGCCCTTTTCCTGCTTTCTTTTCATCTGTGATTCAACCAAAACATTGAATCATCCAGTAACAGGGGTTAAGAACCACCGCAGGAAAACCCTGTGTGCTGGCTGACAGTGGAGACCCCGAGTGGCCTCAGGCCCCCCAGAGCCACCACGGCCAGCTGGACACGACCACGCAGTGACCCCGAGCCCTCTGCCACCACAGCGACACTGTGTCACCACAAACCACCCCAAGGCCAGGCTCTGCAGCTCCTCTGCCCACACCGCCCCTGGCTCCACCAGCCAGACCAGGAGGCAAAGGTGGGCACCTGGATTTCTCCACACGCCCAGGAGGGAGCCTGGTCCCAGCCCAGCCCCAGTTTGGGCTCACCTCCTCGTGCTCCAGCAGGACCAGCCGCACTATGGCGATGTTGATGGGGTTCCCGATGCTGGCATGGTGGAACAGCCCTGCCACCTGCAGTGGGACACCAGGGGACACGGCTGGGGACACACAGCAGCCAGGACACTGCTGCTGCCCCCTCCAGCTGCAGGGGAAGCTGCTGCAGGCTGTTGACAAGATCTCAGGAATTCCCCACGTGGGAGACAAGAGCAGGCACGGGGCTGGAGTGAGGCTGCCGTGAAATCCATTCACACCCGGGGTGATCTGTGCAGATGCTGGAACTCGGCCAGAAACGCCCGGGGACCCCTCTGCTCTCACTCCTACTGGATGTGTTTAACACCTCAAAGGAGCTTGGCGCTCTCTGGGTGCCTTCAGCACCCCCAGAAATCCATCCAGGGATGTCACCTGAGCTCCTCTGCCCCCTCCCACCCTTTCCTGGCATCAACCAAAGCTTGCCTCTGGAATGCCAAGAGGTGCCACCCCGGCAGCAGCAGGGGGACAGACTGAGCCACCTCCTTATCTGCTCGTGTCAGGGCACCAGCAGAGCCCCCAGACTGCCAGTGGAGACCACCACTTGTGGCTGTCCTTCCCTCAGCTGTCCTGCCCACGTCCCCCATCCCCGCGGTGCCGAGGCAGGGGTCCTGGCTGAGCTGAGGGTGCTCCCAGCCCTGCAGGGCCAGCACTCACCATGTTCATGACGGTCAGCACGTACTTCTCGATGTTGGCGCTGCCGTGGAACTCCACCATCTTGGTGTCTGCCACCACCAGCGTCTCCACCCACTTCTCCCTGCTGATGGAGCGCTGCCTGATCCTTCTCCTCCTCCGCTGCTTCTGCTCCCACCTCTCCCTGCGCCTCTCAGACTGCTCCAGGCCGTCCTGAGACTCTGAGGGATTCAAGGGGAAAAACATTTTTTTTCCTTGATCCAGTGCCTGCAACTTTAATATCTTCTTTTTTAATTGAAAGGAATCACCTTTGATGTGGAGAAGGCTCCCACTTAGAGCCATAACTCAGTAACTCATGTGCATTTTGCTGTGCTCTGTTCCAAAGGACTCTGAGCTCAGCCTGCTGCACATGAGCAGGACACACAAAAAAAAAAAAAAAAACAAAAAAAAAAAAAAAACAAAAAACCCAAACAAACAAAAAGAAAACAAACAAAAAAAACCCAAAACAGAACATTTGGAGGAATTTCTTTGACCAGAACAAGGTTTGCAATATGCCTCAAGGAACAGGGAGCCTCCCAAAGCAGAGTCTTAGCGTTTGTCCTGACACAGGAATTTGTAGACAACACTGCAGAGATGTTCGAGAAACGACTCGAGAAAAAACCCCAGTGTCTCACATTTGGGGTCATCCCAAATCTGTGTTTTTCAGGAAGGGACAGTTCCCACCATGATGAACTCGGTGCCCCCAAAGCAGGACTGGGGACTGGAGGGGAGAGGAGAGGGAGATGGAGAGGAGAGGGAGAGGGAGAGGGAGAGGGAAATGGAGAGGAGAGGGAGAGGGAGAGGAGGCTCTGCACCTTCCCAAGGCCGGGCAGGGATGGCAGCGGTGCCCTTCTTCCCTGGTGGGCACCCTCACACAGTGATTTCTCTGTTGTTGTCCCCACCTTTTCCTCCCCAGCCTCAACTTTTTCTCCCCTCTCTCGTGAGCGTGTGAGCCCCAAGCAGCCCAGCATGCCCCCCACCACTCCTGCAGCGGCCAGGGCAAACCGCAGCTGTCCCCACCGGGCTGCCACAAGCAATTAAGGCAGGGCAGGCGGAGCGAGGCAAATCAGATTAAATAGCTCAGGGGGTCGCTCGCACTGCAAGGAGATTAGAGGGGAAAAAAAAAAAAAAAAAAAAAAGAGATGGAGAGGAGAGGGAGAGGGAGAGGGAGAGGGAAATGGAGAGGAGAGGGAGAGGGAGAGGGAGAGGGAGAGGGAGAGGGAAATGGAGAGGAGAGGGAGAGGGAGAGGAGGCTCTGCTCCTTCCCAAGGGGAAACAAGGGGAATGCTGGCTGGAAGCGGAGGCGGGGGAGCTCGGCGCTGCTCACGCACAGCAGCCGCTGGGAATTCTGCAGCGGGGACTTTTCCTGTGCCACGGCTCCAAGAGCAAGGCCAGGGTCAGCCCGGGCTGGGTGAAGGCTTTACAAACCTCATCCCACACAGTGGGAATCGCTTCCCTAACAATGCACTCCTACATTTCCCGGGCTGCGCGGAGCGTGTGCTGTGAAAGGGCGTTTCATCCAGCCTGAGACATCCCAGCTATCCGCACCTCCTGATGAATCGCTAACACCCCTGGGACGGTTTAATCGCAGCAGCTTCCTTGGAGCTCGTTCCCCCTGTGTCCTTAGTGCTGAGTCCAGCCGGGATGTGAGGCTGCTGCAGAGCTGGGGTGCCCAGGGGGCATTTCCACTTGGGATGATCCCTGTAAAACACCACCCAGCTGGGGTGTCCAGGGGGCATTTCCCCTGGCATGATCCCTGTCACACAGCACCCAGCTGAGCACAAGGGCGGCCCTGGGCATTGACAGGACTTAAACAACACCAGCAGCATCTGCCTGTCGTGGGCAAAGCAAAGAGCAACACAGCAGAGCCCAGAGGGAGGATGGCAGTCACTAAAATCCTGCAGACTCTGGGGCTCCTCTGGGACTCCCCTCCAGGGCATGCACAGCACGTCCACCCCTGTGGTCATGATTACAGAGCACATCCACATGAATTACACACAGGCCATGGTATACCCAGAGAAATTAATGTTCAAGAATAGACTTCAAAGTCCAGAAGGGACTTGAGTCCAGAACAGACTTCAAAGCCTAAGTGAAGCCATTAAGATTGTCACCACAGATTAAGTAATTAATTTAGATTATCAGAAGAACGCCTGAAGATAACCCTGTTACAGAGGCAAACCCCAGTTTGTGAAAGCAGAGAGCTCCAGAAAACGTGCAGCACATAATGCACTGCATCCTCATCGGGGAGCAAAGTGCCCATGAGCCTCTGGGAACACACTGAATTCCTCAGCACTCGAAATGCTGCATTTGGGAGTTTATCCAACCCATCTGCTGTGCACAGGGAAGGACCCACGTGCACTCTGCCCACAGTGGGAACTCCCGGAACAGCCACCGAGTTCCACTCCCAAAGCCCCATGCCCTGGCAGTCCAAAAACAAAGCTTTTGTGGAAATGAAGGCAAAAGCTCGGATCCACATCACCCCCAGCCTGCAGCAGGGCTGGGAGCACAAGAGGAGCCCAGAGGCCCAGCACCCAGTGGGTCACTGGTGACACCGAGGAGGGGACAGTACCTCGCACGCCGCAGGGCTCCCGTGGGGCCGGGGGTCTCCTGCCCTGCTCAGCCCTGTCCTGGGGCACCTGGCGCTTGTAGATCCTGTGGGGCTGTGCTGCTCCCTCCTCCCGGGGGCTGCTGGACACGGGCTCGATGAAATAGTCCTCGTCCATGAGCTGAAACACACCTTTCTGCCAGGGAGACACCGAGTGCCACCGTGAGGCCACCTGCAGCCCCGGTGGAACCTGGCACTGGGAGTGATCATGGCACCAGGGAATGGTTGGGGTGGGAAGGGACCCTAAAGCCCACCCAGTGCCACCCCTGCCATGGCAGGGACACCTTCCACTGCCCCAGGCTGCTCCAGCCCCAGTGTCCATCCTGGCCTGGGCACTGGGAGGGATCCAGGGGCAGCCCCAGCTGCTCTGGAATTCCAGCATTCCTAACCCTAACCCTAACCCTAACCCAGCCCCTCCCCACCCTCCCAGGGAAGGGTTCTCCCCACTGTCCCGTTCACTCCTGCCCTCTGGCAGTGGGAAGCCGTGGAGGATCCCACGGAGCTGTGCTGCCTCCAAAGTGAGGGACAGGAGCGTGAGCACTGCCCCACCAGGAATGTGGGGCCATTTCTGCAAACCCACAGGACCCCTGTCCCCCGAACTCCTCCAGGTCACTGCTGCCTCAGGAAATACTGACAGTGGAGCTGAGGAAACAGCGAGCAGCTTCCCTGCCCAGGAGCTGGGCTAGCACAACAGCTCCAGCTGCCAGGTGTGCTCCTCACAATCCCAGTCACACAGCAGGCAGAGAATTGCTCCTTTTGGGAATTTGGACACAAACAAGTAAACCTAGCCTCGGAGAGGTCCCAAACCACTGCAATCCATAGGAAATTTACAGTCAGCTCATCCATGGTGTACCAGACCTGCGTGAGGAGACGCTGACTCTGCTGCTGCTGGGAAACTGGGCGTCACTTTTGGCAGAAAGAAGGGTTCCCCCCAGCAGCTCCTGCCGTTCCCTACGGACCAGGGCTCGGTGTGGAGGGGCAGTACTCACCAGGCCATCGCAGGTGCTGAGGGCAGCCAGCCCCGGCTGCGGCGCCCGGCCCCGCACCTCCCCGATCATATGGCACGGGTTGTAGGAGCGAGGCTGGATCTTGGCGCCGGCGATGCCCCCGAAACGCCTCTCGCTGACAAAGCCCGGAGCCAGGAGGTGCCTGTTGAGGCTCAGGTTGAATTTCAGGGCTTGCCCTCTGTACTGCAGCTCGTAGAAGGCGGGAAGCTTGCTCCTGGAGGCAGGAGACCGGCGGTGAAGGGCCCGGTGGGACAAGTCGTAGGACAGGAAGGCTCCGCTCTCGTCGACCTTGACGGGATGGACGATGTCGCTGCCGGAGCGCGGCTCTGGGGAGAGGGGGTGCACTGGTTACCTGCAGGCTCTTCACCTTTCCTCTCACACCGCTTCCCCCCGCCGGACCCGGACAGCAGCTGGCTGTGCCCGCTGGGACGGCACGGGGCAGGGACAGCGCGGACTGCCCCCGTGCCCTCGGGGCCAGCGCTGGGGACAGCGCTCAGGTCAGGGTCAGGGTCAGGGGCCGGCCGGGCGAGGGCAGCCAGGCAGCTCCGGAGCCCCGCTCAACTCCCGCTGTTAAACTCCGGCTGCCAGTGGGAAAAACACCGAACGAACAACGAAAAAACTCCCGGAAAATGGAATCCCCGCTTTGGGGCGGTGTTGGGACACGCCGTCTCTGGGGGCAAAGCACCCGCGGGCACGGAGCGCCCCGGAGCCTGCCCGGGCGGGCTCGGTGCTGCGGGCACCGGGGCTGCCGGCTCCGAGCGAGCCCGGCCCGGGGGCGAGCGGGACACCGGGCTGACCGGCTCGCAAGCATCCCGCGAACAATCCCGCGGACACCCGGCACTCATCCCGCTCATCCCCGCGGACACCCGGCGCTCTTCCCGCGGACAATCCCGCGGACACCCGGCGCTCTTCCCGCGGACAATCCCGCGGACACCCGGCGCTCATCCCCGCGGACAACCGGCACTCATCCCACTCTTCCCGCTGAGGGGCAGGAGCGGGCGCAGCGCGGCCGGGGCCGCCATGGCTGCGGCGGGCTGGGGGCTCCGCGGGGCGGGGCCGCACGGGGGGCGGGGCTACACACAACGGGGGGCGTGGTTACACACAACAGAGGGCGGAGTTATGTACAGCAGATGGGCGTGGTTATGTACAGCAGATGGGCGTGGTTATTCACATTATATGGGCGTGGTTATTCACATTAGATGGGCGTGGTTCTGCACAGGCGTGGTTATGTACATCATGGGGCGGGGCTATGCTGATCATTTGAGTTTGAGGTTTCCAGTTTTCGAGATTTTGCACTACACTGGTATATAACTCTGAGCTTTATTTAGAGTGTTAGCAGTTCTCACAGCTCGGCCAGACAAAACAATCCTTTTCCAGCCTGGGAGCCAAGGACAGCGTTGCAGTTTCAGGTCCAAAAAGTGCAAACAATGGCGAATTGAGGAGAGCAATCTGAGAGGATGGGACTGCACAACCCGGAGGTGCAATTGGACAATTAACCCCAGGATGGAAATGGACCAAAATTTATGAAAGTGTGAAAACTCATGACCTGGAGTCCCGCTTGGGCATAGCCATGGCTGGGCTCTTGTACTGCCCAAGATGTACCCTGTCTTTTAATAAATCTCTACTTTATTCTTTAACTCTGCCCAGTCTCTGCTCCAGGCAGCCCCTCAAGGCACATCAGAGGGCGGGGTTATGCAGATTAGGGGCGGGGTTATGCACATTAGGGGGCGGTGCTTATAGTACGCCTTGCCGGCGTGGCCCGTGGCGCCCCCTGGCGCTCGTTTGCCGCTTTGCTTCGTCTGCCCGCCCCGAGGACCGCGATTTTAAAAAAATCACAAAAATTCAGTGAATTTTCGGTCAAAAATGATAAACGGTGCTTGGCTGACGCCGCCACGTCTCTCGTCTTCTCAGCCGGGGCTGCCCGTCGCCGCCTCCTTTTATTTTCTCTCAGGTTGAAGCGCACCGGGAGCAAACACCCGGCATTATTCGGCTCTGTTAATTACCGCCTCGGGGGCTGCTCTCGGCTCCGGCAGCCTACAGCTTTCCTGTGACGGCCGCACCTCCTGTGGCTCCACACCTGCCGGGATAATGGGATAACGTTTGGGATAATGTTTAATTAGGCGAGAATGTTAAATATGCAGATCAGCCGGGCACGCGCCCTCTGGCGGCCGAAGGAGGGAACACTCACTGCCGGTGGGGCGGTGTCGACACCTGCTGCGGCCGCTGGGTGAGCATGGCGCCCGGCTAGCTCAGTCGGTAGAGCATGGGACTCTTAATCCCAGGGTCGTGGGTTCGAGCCCCACGTTGGGCGCATCATTTTTTTCCTATTTTTTCTCGGTTTTTATTAATTTTTTTCCCCCAGTCTGGCTCCTCCCGGCTCGGGCAGCCAGCGCTCGGCAGCCGAGCCGCCCCCGCACGCCGAGCGGGGCGGAGCGGGCGCGGAGCCCGCGGACTCCATGTCCCGGCATGCCCGAGCCGCGGCTGCGCGGCGGGGCCGGGCCGGGCAGCGCCGGGGCCGGGCCGGGCAGCGCCGGGGCCCCGCGGGGAGCGGCCGGAGGAGGGACCGGCCCTTATAAATGGCGCCCAAGCAGGACCCCAAGCCCAAGTTCCAGGAGGGTGAGTGCGGGCAGGGCTCGGGGCTGCGGGGTGCGGGCCCGGGGCTGCGGGGTGCGGGCCGCGCCCGGCGCGGGGGGCTCGCCCCTGGCCCCGGGCTCGGCGGTCCGGCTCCCCGCGCTCCCTGCTCAGCCCCGGGCAGGTGCGAATAGGTGGGAAAGCTGAATTCCCGCCGGCTTTGTCTCTTCCCGGCCCTCCTCTTGCCTGCCGGTAACACGCGGGCCCTTCCCACCCCGTTATTCCAAATATCCTTCATTTTCCTGGCATTGAAACTGCTGGAATCCCTCTGGTTTGTCGGGGGGTTTGTTTTAATGCCTTTGAAAGGTGGCTGTTGTTTGTTGTCCCCCGGAAGGGAGCCCGGTGCAGGAGGATTCATGGAGGCAGCGTTGGATTTCAGCACAGCTGGAATCCACATCTGCCGCAGAGCTCCGGGGTTGGGGTGAATGAGGATGAATCGCGCTTTTCAGGAGGCTCTTTCTGCGTATATTTCGAGTTTTAGGTAACGGTTGCGGTTGAGAGTAGTACAAGTAAGGTAAATAAAAATAGCAGTGCAGGGTAAGATGGATGCCCCATCCCTGGCGTGTCCCGGGCAGGGCTTGGAGCAGCCTGGGACGGTGCAAGGTGTGCCTGCCCTGGCAGGGCTGGCATGGCATGTGTGCATCCAGGGAACAGCCCTTGTGTGAGGGACAGGAGCCTGCCGGCGTACCGTGGAGACAAAGAACCCTTTCTGCAAATCACCCGTGTGTTTTTTAAAGGTGAATGTTCCTCAGCAGCCGTGGGCATCTCTCCTGGAAAACACTGCACGGCTCTGAGGCAGAGGGGTGTCTGCCACCAGCGCTGTGACAATGAGGCTGGTAATGTCACCTCTGATTGTCAGCCCCGTCTGTAGGGACGTTTTAAAACAAATAAAAGTACCGGCTGTGTGCTGTATCAGTGTAACCCTTCTGAGCCTTTCTCTTTGTTGGGGCACAGAAGCATTGCACAGTTCTGCAGCTCATCTTCCCAAAACCGGGAGGCACTGCAGCTTCCAGGGGATGTGTGCTCTCAGATATCCTGTGTTAGGCACCCTGCAAATCCCACAGAGGAACCACACAATGAGACTTGGCCAGGAGAGATAAAACCAGGCTGAAGGACAATCTCATCCTGCTGCAGACCCAGAGTGAGGGGGTTCTGCTGCCCAGCCCTGCCCTGTGCCACAGGCTGGGTGGGGAAGCAGCATGGTGGTGTCTCTTCCTGACTCCCTGAGCTGGGAATGCCACGTGCTGCCCTCCCTGCAAGAAAGGGACACGGGTGACGGTGGCTTTCGGGTGTCAGGAGCTTCAGGTGCAGAGGTGGGGTGTTAGGAGAGGGCCTGGATCAGGGCCCTGTGGCTGAGCCCAGCCTGCTGTGGGGGCTGCAGCCTGAACTGAGGCTGGGGAGGGGATCTGGGCATGGCAGGGGTGTGGGGTTTGCTGCCAGGCACGGCCAAAGGCACCAGCACTGTGACCGTGCCAGTGTGCAGCTGCTGCTGGCATCCTCGGGCATCTCTGCTCTGGCTTCCAAACAATCACAGCTCTGATCCCTTTGCTGGGACAGACAATTTGCTTCTCCGGTCAGGTCCTGCCTCGGGGCTGCCCCTGTGCTGTTCCTGTGTCAGGGCTGTGGGAGTGTTCCTCTGAGCTGTTTCTCTGTGCTTCCCTTGCAGGTGAGCGAGTGCTGTGTTTCCATGGACCTCTCCTTTATGAAGCCAAGGTGGGTGTGTGTGGCTGCAGGAGAACAAGGACATGTTTCTGTCTGCTGTGCCTCTAGGTGGGACCAGGGACTGGAACTAAAATTAACAAAAACCTGTCTGAAATCAATGTCAAGCCCTGGGGCTCTATTCCAGAACAATTTCAGGAAGCCCAGTGGCACCGTGCAGCTATTCTGGGAAGCTCCCAGAGGCTGTTAGAACATCCCAGAACACTGGAAATATCCCAGAACACTTTGTGCCTGCAGGATTTGGTGCCTGAGCTGCTCAGGGGAGGGGGCTGAGTACAGCCTGTGGTCTTCCACAGTGCCCAGGAGGAGCTGCACTGCAGTGACAATGCAAGTGGCAATCCCAGTTCTGCTCCCAGTTCTGGCTTTTCAACCACAGGAGCCTGCACTGCAGATTTGTGCCCCTGCTGCCTCAGAGTTGCTGCAGGCACAGCTCTGGCTCTGAGTGCCCCCACTCCCTCTGAAAGGGAAGGAAAGGGCTCTTGGAGCTGTGTGGGTTGGAAGGTTTGCAGAAATTCCTGGGGCACCTCAGACAGGGATTTAAATCCTTCAGGATTTGGTGTCAGTGAATGTTAACACAGGGAGGCAGAAGAAACACTCAATTTCTCTCTTCAGGAGAAAGAGTTGTTGTAATACTAAAATCTCACTGAGAGGGTTTGGGCTGCTCCAAACCATTCCCACCTTAGGGTTCCTACTCTGCTCCTTCCTGCCTCTGGAACGGGAGGATGAGGTTGTGGGAGTGTGGGACAATTCCACCTTTTGTTGGGAATGTGTTGTGCCAGTGCCTGCAGAGAGGAGGCTGATGGAGGCTCTGGTTTGGAGGAAATAACCACAGTGTGCCACTCAGGCTGAGCTGGACAGCAGCTGTGCTTGCCCTCCTTTTTCCAGAGTGGAATGAGTGCTGCAGGGCAGGCTGTGCCAGCTGGGTGCTGCAAGGGAACTCCCAGCTCACAAGTGGGTTTGGGCTGGCTGTTTGTACTGAGTGGATCCTTCTGAGTTCCTGCACTGGCAGGATGAGCTCGAAGTTTCATTTTAAAAAGGTTTGACTTGTTTATTTTAAGGGGTTTAATTTTAAAAGCTGCTTTGTCAGTAGTAATGAATAACAACCTTGGCTTTCTTCCTGCTCCTTTGATCTGTTTTTCTGCCGTGGTTCTCAGTCCAGCAGTTGTTTTGTTCCTGACCACATCCTTGGTGTGCCACAGCAAGGTGGTCAGAGCAGCTCCTTGTGAGGGCTCGTGGCAAACAGGAGCTGTTTGTGCATCTCTGCCATGCAGAGTTAAAGGAGATTCACTTCAGGCCCTTCTAACCCCCAGCAGGGAAAATATTTTGCTACAGAACTGTATTTGACTCATCTGTTGCTTGGTGCTCAGCCCCTTTATTCTCCAAAACAAGCAGAGGCAGGCACAGGATGTGTGTGGCTGGGTTCAGCTCCAGGCTGTCAGAACAAGCACTGCCACAGCAGAGGATCCAGCAGGAGAATCTTAGTCCTGGCTGCAAGTTCACCTGAGCCTGGGTTTAAGTTCTGTGTGTGGTATTTTGCAGATGTTTCCTGAAACAGGAGGTTCCTCTCTGGCAGTATTTTGTTGTTGAAGCGGGTACAGCACAGTGTGGTCTTGAGAAAATGTTGTGTAGCCAAAGGTCCTGCCCTCTCAAACACTTGGAGAAGGCTCTGCGTGCCAGGAAAATACCAATTATAATTTTGGGAGTAGTTTTTGCTTCAATTAAAGGAAAAACCCTTTTACAGAGACTAAAATCTGGAGCCCTGCAGGTTTTAGAGCAGCCTCATTCTGTCACTGCTCGGGGGGCAGTGGCAGCTGAATCTCAGCACCTCCAGAACAGGACTTGAACTTCCTGGAGGAAGTGTTGAGTTGGTGGGTTTGATTTGTACAGCCAGGAAGTTCAGGGGAAAGCTCTGCAAGCTAAAGCAGCAAAATTCCCTGAGATCTCCTTGTTTTCCCTGGGACTGACTGACCTTTCTTCTCTGTTGCAGTGTGTAAAGGTTGCCATAAAGGACAAGCAAGTGAAATACTTTATCCACTACAGTGGTTGGAATAAAAAGTAAGTAGTGCATAGAATAAAAGCAGGATTTCTCTTTCCTTTCCAGGGAGATGCTTTGTGTGAGTGTGGGCTGGCTGCAGCAGCCCTGCCATGTCCCTGCAGGTGGCAGATCCTCTGGGATTGAGCAGGGTGATTTAATACCTGAGCTGCTGGTTTATGGAGCACAGAGAACATTGCCAAGCTGGCCATTTCCTGCAGAGCTGCCAGGAGGCTGCTGGGAGTGCTCTGGGACATTCTGGTTGTTCAGGGTGGGAAACACTGGAGTTCCTCCCTGACAGAAACCTCTGCTGTGAAAACTTCCTTGTTATGCCTTGGGAGGAAGGGCAGCTCCTACTGAGGTGGGGCAAAACCACTCGGATCCCTGCCTCTTACCCCAGGAATTCAGGGGATTTTGGAGCACAGCTAGCTGAGGGCTGGGTTAGCAGCAGGTGCAGCCAGTGTTTCAGTTCCAGCCTCTCAGGTTAAAGTGAACCTACAGATGCTTCTTCCTCCTGCAAAACTGGCAGGTTCCAGGTGGGAGATGGCTGAGGGTTACAGGCACCTCTGTGGGATAAATGTTGAGCCCATTAGAGGTTAAAGCTTCCATGAGGTTGTTATACTGATGTACTTTTCTCTCCCTTTTTTTGAGTTGTTTTCCACCCCTCAGTTTGAATTTAGGAAATGGAGGTTTTTTCTAGGTGATTAAAAACCTCAGCTCTTCAGACCCAGAAGTCTCAGAGGGCAGCTTCCTGTTTGGTTTGGTTTCATTTCAATGCTGAGGACTCTTAGTCACAGCAGTCTTGATCTCTGTGATGTGACTAAAAGCTGAACCTCGTGTTTTAGCTGTGACT